AGCTAATGATTGGCTTCAGTTTACCTTATGCAGTCCTGTGGTTTCCTAATAAATGGGGGGCAAATACTAGAGTGGAAATTGACCTTCATCTAGAGTCCCCTGTGGCCTGTAACCATTAAGTTGTATGAATCTTGAATTGGGCCTTTCCCCATTTTGTGCAATACCACATGGTGGTGATGTTGAGCTGTGAATCATTTTGTCTTATCCTTTGATGTATAGGCCTGGATAATGGGCAGCAAATCAGTTGTTGGATGTGGGTACGCTGTGTAAATAATTAAGATGGTAATTGAATTTGAAAAAGGAGAAACAAACTCAGAAAGAGTGGAAAACCCGATTTGACTAATCTGATTTTTTTTCTGTAGGACCTTAAAATGAAATCTAAATGAACATAGGGTGTTAAGAAGGGTTTGCAGATTACATATGTACATAAAAACCTAAGAAAGTTTTCAGTTGAGAGGAGACTATTTGGCCAATGTAGCTCTTTCCACTGTAGAAATCCTCTGTGTTCCCTGTTTTAAATGCACTTTTACATGGTTTCTGTTTGTGTCCTCAGACTCACATTTCATTATTGATTCATAGAAGTCAATTGGGTTCACTGTATCAAAGAGTTCAGCAGAGACCCACATTCTATTTTTGTAAGGGAGAAAGCAGAGCAAATCAAATTTGTGGTTGTTGTGTCAGGGAATCTCTACTGACCGTGATCATGTCAGAAGGCTGAATCAAAGTTGCAGAACTTACAAGTGTTTGGATTTTTTGTTGCACATATGAATTGGCGATGAAAAATATATCCATGTGAAAAACTTGGCACAAATCAACTGTAGGTATCCGAGACTGGCTGCTGTGCACCACCGGCAAAAAATATTGGGGATGTTGACGCATGATTTTCTGTTGCTGCACAGCAATGTAGGATTTCACAAGAGCTGAGTTGCATAGACTGCCATTCTCCACTGTGGCTTGTACTGCTAATTTATTCACCCTACAGACTGCTTGTGTGTTAATGACTCTTATCACTTCCATTATTTGGATTCTGCTATGTGACACTTGGTTTTCATATTTCCCAGAAGCCTTGCATTGAAGAGTAGGCACCTACTCAATGTTGCGCCTTTTAAGGAAATGGCCGATGCGTTCGATTAACTATGTAATTTTTTACTTTTTTGAATGTCCTTGCAGCTGAGGCAAAAAAAGAATGAAATGATTATAACAGCCGCTTATTTTTCTTGACAATCAAAGGAGCTAGGAGTTGGTAAATTGGAGGATAAGGAACTTACATTTACATGGGATAAATACATTGTGAAGAAATGGGTTTTATTGTTTTTTTCTTTTTATGTACCTCAAATCTTTTTAAGGAGAGGCGCAAATGTTGAAGCATTTAACTGAACGCAAGTTCAGGTCTTTGACCCAGGATTAGCGGGTTCGAGCATGAGCCACGCTGCTAGACGACTATGACCAAGACTCTTAAGAGGCTGCCCACAATTTGCTCAGTGCTCCTAGGCCTAGATTGGGTTTAATAGGTCATAGTTCTCTTTGTCCTCAGAGACACAGGTGGAGTAAACCGTCCTTATTCTCACCTTGTGATGTTGTGAGCTTGAAACCGCCCCACAAGGTGAGAAAAACACACAGCTGGAAATTGGGTGGGTATAACTTCATTTACAATCTTACGTGTATATTTAAAAAGGCTTTACATACCTCACGAATATTGGGAATGATTTGGTTTTTTATTATAATAAAACAGAAATGCGCCATTCTTTTTGTCAGGATAAACAATGAAAGTAAAACGCTTAAGTCATTTATCTTCCTGAATAGACCACTTCTACTTTTGAGCCTGACTGCACTCCTTGTATGGAAACAAATGGTTGAGTTCAGTTGATTTGTTTCAGGGGAAATGCCAAGGAAGTTGCTGAAGCTCGATTTATTCTTTAGTGTAACTGCTGTCTTGCACATATGGTGGGGGGGAAAAAGCAGAAGGAAGTTAAACTCTCCCATTTATTGTAGAAATAAGTCAAATTCTATCTGCAACAATCTGGTGACACATGCAATTTCCGAATTATCAGTTAATCAGTATGTTGCAGAGAAGATTTGAGTTTTCCTTTATATCTGTTTATCACACAAAACCTCTCTGTAGGACCACTGCTGCTAGACATGAAGTGCTAATTATTTCTTAATTCCAGGATCTTGCAAAACACTTTCAGACACTTCCTATGGTGTACAGGGTTGTGAAATCACAAAATGATGCGTGCAGCTTTTTAATGTTGTATTGAAAGTTAATATGTCTAAGGGTTAGGTAAGGTACAGTAAATATCATCAAAAACTAAAGAGAAAAACTAAAATATTTTCATTACATAAGTACTCAAACTTGTAGAAGCACCTGTGGCAGAATTTACAGATGTAAGTCTCTATCAGCTTTGCACACTGGTTTATTGCAGTTTTTGCTCATTATTGTGGCTGATTTTGCTCAAGCTCTCTGAATTTGCTCGGCGATCTCTTATGGACAGAAGCTTTCAGATCTTTGCACGGATTCTCAAGAGGATTCAAGCCAGGATCGTGACTCGCCACCCAAGGACACCCACTGCTTAAGCATAAAATTAGTCTTTATGCTTTTGATCATTTTCAGCTGAAAGCTGAATTTTTGTCCCAGTTTTAGGTCTGAAGCAGGTTTTTCCTCTTTGATTTGCCAGAACTTTGCTCCATCTGTGTTCCCGTCAGTCTTGAGGAGAAGCAGGGTTTGTAAGGGCTTGCAAGCAACATATTGCTGCCGACACCATGCTTGACAGAAGGGAGGGTGTTGACTGTGTGATGCTCAATGATGGGTTTGTACCAGATGTAACACTTTATATTTAGACCAGAAAGTGCCAGTATTGCTTGTCTGACCACAGAACCAACAAGTTGCATGTTTGCGGTATCTCTTACAGTAGATGCTTTGACCATAAACCCTGTATGGATTTTATCACACAGTTTTTCCAGTTCCATACAAGTCCCCTTTTTTGAGTGACTGGGTTATTGTTAATATCATTAATCACCTTTTCTTCCATCACAGCCTTAATGGCTGATACTCTGTAACTTCAGTCATTGTTGGCCCCACAGTGGCATCTCAAACCAGCGTCCTGTTTGCTTAGATGCTCCGTTTGATGGGACAGACTGATTTAGGCCATGTCTGGGTGCCTTTCATTTATTGATCAAGTTCACAATGCTGAAAGAGATTTTAATGGTCTTTGAAATGTTTTTTTACCCATCTCTTGATCAGTACTTTTGTAAAACTCTTTTTTTGTGTTGTTGTGAAAGCTCTTTGGTTGAATCTTTGCTTGAAATTCATTGTCTGTGGGACCTTATAGAGATAATTCTATATTGTATGTTTTGTAATCATGTGAAGCACCATCATTGCATGCATTAGCCACTCAACAAATTGTGTGACTTAAAAAAGCATCTATTGTAGGTGCACCTGAATTTTGTGCACCGCAGCAAAGTGTTTGAATGCTTATGGAATCATGACTTTTCCATTTTTCTATGATCTATTTAATTCTTTTATTTTGTTTTGAATGTGTGGAGTAGGTTGTGCATATAAAAAAATATTAATTCTAACTTCAAGGTGTCATGACTGCAAACTTTAAAGCAACAAAATGTGGTAATGGTCCACGAGTCTGAATATTTGTGCAAGGTCCTATATACTCTATATATTGTGCATTACATTATTTGTACTGTAAGTGTCTATGTGCACAAACCTACAGTAGACACTTTTGGAATTTACATATGAAGATAGATATTTCAGAAAAGTTTAATGACAAATAGGAACATGGTTTATGAAACTCCCGTGAAGACCTTTTGGGGGCACATTATGCATAAACCATGTGATTAGTATCTGTCATTCAAAGTAATGGCTTTAGCAACATTGACAAACATTGAAGTGCATTTATGTTTCCCTAATAAGGGACGTTCATATGAAAATACCAAGTACAATGGAGCTGACTGGTGGGGAAGGAGCTCACGTATTCCACACAGTCTCTCCACTGAAGTGATACTTCTACTTGCAGATGGCCTTTGTGTCTTTTAGTTTTCACTTCAGCCTGGACTCTTAACAGTTGTTCAATTAATTTGCATTGTCAGTGTCTCCAGGTCTTTGATTATGGAGGATTACAAATTGCCTCTAAACCCTGGTGCAATGCAGTCCTCTCTTAACCAGATTCTAATGAGCTGTTTTTGACTGTCATGCTTCATTTCTTTTTTTGCCCATCAAAAAGCATAAGCATAGAATATAGCACCAAAACATAAATATAAAAGCTGTCCTGTTGACGGTCATTGTCATAAATCCTCACATTAAATAAATGAAATGAAGATTACAAACTAACTCCTCCTCAACAGTTCTGCAATGTGAATACCCCACTCTTTCCCTTGAGACTTCTCTCACATGTTCTGCACTGTGAATAGACACTGATTTATTTAATGTGTGCCTCTGACGTACAGTAATCTAGCTCTGTAGTACTGTACAGAAATGGGCAAGAGAGGTGGATATTCACAGCCAATTTGTTGCATGCTTGTTAGCTTGTTAGAAGTGTTTTTTTTGTTGTATGTAAATTATTGCAGAGTAGGTGGTAAATCAATCTAACAGTCTAAAAGCTGTTAAACAAACAGAACGTCTGACAGAGTAATCAGTGGAGTTGCACTGATAAACAGCATTTGGTTTATTGTGAAATATTTTTACCTGTGCAGCATTATCAGTGGTGTGAGGTGGTTTGGTTAGCCCGTTTACTGTGATTTAGATGTAAAGGAAGAAGAAGGCTCCACAGCCCAGATGTTGTGACTCTTTTCTTTTCAGCATGGAATAAACCTTTACTTGTTCCTTAGCAACCTACGCATGCTGATGCAGCTGCCTACTTGAACCTACATGATTTAGCTTTGTCTATTTAATTCTTGATATTACATAGCCAGCGCAGTTTGAATAGACTAATCTAGGAATTCTGATGTTGGCCTTAGTAAGTAGATCAAACGTTTGTCCCAAACACAGATTACAGACATATTACCTAATGGTAGATTTCTGAATGCCATGGATGCCTTACATTTACAAAGCTGCTGTTGGGTTCAGAATTGGTGATGAGTAAGTCATAATTTTGATGTGATTCAAAATCTTTGTCAGGAATGACTAGCAAGATTTGTAGAAATGTTTCCACGTAACCTATGGTCTTACACTAACATGGTTTTAAGCATTATATGTGAATACTGTAACAAATATTTGTAAGAATGATAGCTCTTATTTGATTATGCTTGTGTGTATTTTGACAGGCTACAGGATGAATACACCAGAGCTCAGAATGAACTGAAACGTTTGCTGAGTGAGAAGCAGGCTGCACAAGATAAGCTTCAGTTGCTGCTTGCAGAACTCCGGGGAGAGCTGTTGGATAAAACTAGGGAATTAGAGGAGCTGAAAATGCAGGTAATTTAGTAATTGTTACATTTCTGTTCCCTATCGGGACTGTGGAAATTTTAATACTGTATCTTCTTCTCTAAGTCATTTTCCCTTAACTCTTTGTGTATGTGTATGTTTTTGAGAACCGCTGATTTTCTGTAGTACTCTCTCAGTGTTCTTGGAATCCTTGCATATTTTAGCGTGTAGGTCAAGATAACTTTTTCTCTTTGTATTTTAAGCTTTATCAGAAGATAGAGAGCTGAGTCTGAAAACATTTTGTACTTGCATATCTTTAGCATTTTAAATCAAATTGCTGGACTTGTAAGGCTGATGTTTCTTGTGATGCTTTTAGTGTAACACACTAACACTACTAATATATTTAATGTAGAATTCATGTTAAGTAATGAATATTTTCATATTTCCCTTGTACAGATGCCATGTGTTGTTTTCTGTATTTTTCACGAATGCGAAAAAGGCTGATAGTTTTCTTCCTTGTTTTCATTCTCTGAAGAAGAAAAAAATGGGTATTCAGAGTAGGAAGTTTTTTGTTTTGTTTGTGCCAGATGCTTACTCCACAGAAACTGGAATTGCTGCGAGCCCAGATCCAGCAGGAACTGGAGATGCCAATGAGGGAGAGATTTAGTAAACTTGAAGAGGTTGGTCTTAATTTACAATACTAGATATTCATAAGAACAGTTACAAATGAGAGGAGGCCTTTTGAACCTTATAGTCTGTTTGGTGGTTAGTATTCAGTTATCCCAAAGATCTCATCCAGAGGGTATCAGCTTCAACAACATAGCTGGTTAGCTTGTTCCATACTTTGGGTAGTAAAGTGCCTCCTCTGGTGCCCTCTGGTTTGTGGTTCGCTGTTTGCTAGGAAGTTCTCTGAGTTAACTTTGTCAATGCATTTGAGCATGTGCATTACTGGTATCTTAATTTATTTCTAGAAAGCTTGCCCATGCACTTTCTGTAAGATAACAGCACATTTAATTTTATTAAAAGAACCTTTGCATACCTGGGTGGGTGCAAACTGTAAACAGTTGCACGTGCTAAGGGATTCTCAATAGAGACCATCATGGAGAATTCTCATCCTGCATGTTACATTTTTTTAAATGGTTCTTCACAATTCTGTGTAAATATAGTAACATGGCAAAAATGTTAACCTTTCCTTTTTCAAAGGAAACAGAAAAGTACCGTTCGGAGTACAACAAGCTCCGTTATGACTACACTTTCCTGAAGTCTGAATTTGAACACCAGAAGGAAGAGCACATGCATGTTTTGGAGGAAAGGAAGATCCGTTTTGAAGCAGAGGTGGGTTAAGAACTACCTGAAACTACCACTCATAGACTTGATTCATTTAATAATAGTTTAAATAGACATTCAAGCAACAAAGGCGCTGGAGGAAGTTTGTTTAGTTTTTATTATACTTTTTTCAGATTTTTTTTTAAAAAAAATAATTAAAATAAAACTAATGAAATTGCATACTGTTAGACACCATTGTCAAATTGCCAGAGTGATTACATGGTTTGGCTGCCGTATAGAATTATTTGCAAAACTTTAAAACAATCGTTTACTGTGAAACCATTTAAAATGCAAATCTGAAACCTGGTCCACAATTTTAGGCAATGTCAAAGAGACTTGTTCAGGATGTGATAGTTGTTTGCGTTTTTTGGCTGCTATATTGGATTAGTTAAAAGTGTTCAAGTAACTCCTCTCAAACTCCAAGATTAATTGGAATGAAATTTAGTCTGAAACATGTCTGATACAGGTTGCTCTATTGAAAGGCAAGGCCAGTATGAAAACAATGAAGGTCTCTGTTTAAGAGCAGTTGGTCTGTTGACTCCAAACTTAGTACTGTAGGTGCTGTTTTAGTGTCAGTATCAGCGTTCTGCATAAATCAGAATGACTGCCTGACTGTCATTTTGTTCTGACAGCAAAGATATTCAAAGCTATTTTTTTGGTCATACCTCACAAAGAAAAAAAAAATATTCTGGTAATAATGCTATTGTGCAAAACCTGTTTGGCTAACTATACAGTTGATGTATTACAATATGGGAGTGATGCCTCAACACCCTTTTCTCTGTACTTTCACACTGTCTCGCTCTTGGGAAATGCTGCACTGATTACACCTCGTGTGTTGCAACAATATTTTTTCTGCCTGCACCAGTTCATTGGGCAAACAGTTCACAGCCTTCTAACATTATTTCATCTATATGAAATACTTACTCTTTTTTTAATATTGAAGCTAGAAATTGGGGGTTTACAGTAGGTAGAGTAATCTCAGAGTAGAAGAGACAAGTAAAGTATGTTAGTGAGTGTTTTGTATATGTGCTTTCACACTTGCTAAAGTTCACACTCTGCAGAGGCAAAAAGGGTAGGAGATATTTATATGAGTCTGTTAGACTGAACTACTGTGCCCTATATCTTTTAGGACCACTTTCAGATAGGAGAGGAAGGTGATAAAATAGTGTTTTCCTCCATTATTAGTTGTTTGAAGTTCAATTAAGTTTTGTTACATGAAACATTCTGCTTTTGCCTTCTTTTTTAGGTGGTTGTGGGATAACTCTTCAGGGAGTTCCAGCAAATTTTAATGGCTAAAATCACATAATAAATCACATAAAACACAGCATATTTTGCAAACACATACTGTACATGCATTTCTTTATCTTCATTTATGAAACTATATAAATTAAACAAAACATAAAACAATGATCAGGTTTCCTACTTCTGAGTTTTAAGAAACAGATTGCATCCTAGTTAGCAGATGTGTTTATTTTTATATTAGGTCTCCCGGTTAGAAAAAGACAAAGAGGAGCTTTCCAATCAGCTGTTAGGCGCCGACCCCACAAGAGACAACAAGCGGGTGGAATCGCTCCTAAGGGAGAAGGCTCAGTTGCACCAGAGGCTGAAGAGCTTGGAGGCAGAGGTCGCTGAGCTGCGGGCTGAGAGGGACAACTCTGGGGCACAGGCCGAGAACGTGCAGAGGATCCAGGTGCGACAGCTGGCCGAGTCCCAGTGTGCGGTCAGATCTCTGGAGGTAGGTGCTCCAGCTGAGCCGAGACACTTAAATGACTTAAAACCTGAGTTTAATAACATGGAAGATATACATGAAAGGGGGTCTTTATTCTTCTTCAAAATCATCTAGTAAAATATCAGGAAAATCTCCCCCTTTTTACTGCCCCACGAAACACGCGATGTGAATGAACCTTTTAGGTTTTCCTTTTGTTAAACAATACACAGTAGCCAAAACCAGTGCTGCACCAGTGTGTACTAGAGACCTGGCCATAACACCAAAAATAGGTCCCAATACTTTTTTGGTCATATTCGTAATCCATATTTGTCAGAAATCAATGAATATCATTAGTTACTATTTAGTTTTACTCTGAAAGCAAATAAAGGAAAAGCAATTCAGACATATGGGCCACAACTAGAAATAGATTTCCACAAAAGAAGAGTACATGATGTCTTATGATCACATGGGTTTTTAGGGGGCATAGGCATAATGTTCTTTTAAGAGGACACAGCATGGGATCATTTAAAATGTAAGCTATAAAAATAAAACACATAGATTGTTGTTATTAACTATTTTATTATTAAGTATTTCAGTTATTTCTGCAGTCAACAGAAATGACATCTTGTGATTTTGAGAAATGCTGAGTTGAGTACAGTTAAATGAAAAGGTGGTACATACATATTGGAACTAAGTTCTAATGTTTATACCAATAAACAGTGTAGTATCAATAACAGCAATTACTAGTAGGGGGACTTTCTAGCCTAAAACTGCAACTAATTGTACTGTTAACTGCTTATAATAAATCAGTACTTTGCATTGGCCTATTTAACGTATGTCAGCATCTTCATATAATAAACACATGACTGATGTGATTTTCTGAGAAAGGTCTTGTAGCTCAGATACAAATAGATTATTAAAGCTTAAAGACTATGGAGGTCTTCAAAATTTGCCTGTTTCTGAATTTTCAGAGCTGTATAAATCTGCATTTGCATTTGCTTAAAGAAGTACCAGAAAGTGTGATGTTAATGTGTGAAAGTGTGATGTTATTGTGTGTGTGAAGTGTAGTGTGTGTGAAAACTCGAGTTTCAAGCTAGTGAGAAGATGACCCACACCCACCCTTGACCACTGCACAGAGCTAAATGCCTAATATAAGTGCATAAGGAATATTACATGTAAGAGGAGGCTGTTTGGCCCATCTAGCCTGTTTGGAAGTTAGTAGTTAATTGATCCAGGGATTTCATTTTTGGATATTGAAAAAAACCAATATCTGTCATCACACACAGCAAAATAGGCCCCACATCAGCACAGCAGCTGTCAGTAAGACATACTGTCTATTAATACTTTCTTACTGACACAAAGCTTGTTGAGAGCTGCTAAATGTCTAAAACATGACTGGTACCTGTATTGTTAGTAAGGCCTGAAAAGAAAGCTTTAGTTATTACTGGTGTAATATATAACTTAACAAATGTTGGATAACCACTGCATGATGGTTAGTAAGTTACATATTACACCAGTAATAACTAAATCCACAACAAATGGCACTGAAGCATAAACAACAAATATGTTCTGCAATCTGCTGAAAATCTTAAAAAAACACTTGCCCATTGACTTACCAAATGTTGGATAACCACTGCATGACGGTTGTTAAATGCTAGGATATCATTTGTACGTAACTGCTACATGGTTTACAGGTGTCTGCTTTCTAAAGTCTTCCCACAAGAATACTGTAAAGATTCAGCAGGCATCAACTACTTTGTCAATGGGCAAGTGGTTTTTTAAGGTTTTCAGCAGAACATATTTGTTTTTGCTGCAGTGCCATTTGTTTTGGATGATTGTTTGAAGGGCAGAGATTTCTGAGATGTTTAATCCCTCATTCAAAAGACAGAGAAAAAGAATTAAGACACAAAGAAGCTGGTATGAAGGTGGCAATGTGTTCATTTTTTGCATATATTAAGATGCCTTTTAAAATACTTTAAATGTATTATTCAAATGTTTTTTTTTCCTTAACTGTGGTGGAAATTACTTGTTTAAGCATAGTATAGAATGCAAATGACAGGCAGAGTGCAGTATGTGTATTCATCCTGATTTTCCTCAAGTTATTTGTTACTTCTTTTCCTACTCCCTTTTGTGATATAAATGGAATATATTTGAAGGGCACATGAGTACTAACATACAGTATGTACATTGTCTGACTTAAACCTGTGCTGTTTTATATAACAGCACTAACGGTAACTTCAAGATCTTGATTAAAACAATAATGTAAGAAAAGTACACACAAGTCAGTCACAGAACAGTGGTAGGTATCTCTGACACAAACAGAGCTGCCACCTGGTCTTTTTTTTGTGTAACTGCCTGTTACAGATGACATTATTTAAAAAGCTGGCTTGTTTTAGAATTTAAAGAGCTATTGCGTTATTGTATTTGTATGCTCTTTTGTGCCACCACAGTAGAGTCTCTAAAGACTTCTGAGGATAGTTTGCTTCCTGAATGCCTTTTTGATTTTGATGTAGCTTTTAAGGTTAGGCTTTCTCTTACGTGAAAGAGAAACATAATCAACTGACATTACAGCTTTCTGATGTTGTATTAGCTTTTTATAATCTGCTGTAGAAGCCTTGGGCTCTTACATTCTTTGCTAATGTGTACTATTACAGTTTTAGAAATATTAATTTTATTGTGGAACTTTAGAAGGGTAGTAGTTGGTTTATTGTGTTTCTCAAAAAGCAGGAGATCTAAATACAAATATCATATTTGTATTTAGATCTCCTGCCAAAACGTCCTCATTACTGTAGTTTTTATTAATACTATGTTTGTATCCCCCGTTGGTAAATTGGTAAGGTTTCTTTGGGCTCCCTAACAAATCTAAAAACCCATGTGTCTCATTTTGTTCAGGGATCAATTCTTACTAAGAATTAAAATAAGAATAAAAAATAATATTGCTAAAAGCTGGCAAAGAGCTGTCATTTTATTTTAAGTTCCTAGAGCATATGTTTCTCAGATGTCTTACCATCAAATTATTATTTGTGATTGTTGTGTGTAATGTTTGCATTTTATAATCTATGAACAACATTTTAGTGAAGTTAGAAGACAAATAAGTATGGAAACAGTTTCTTTCCACATTAATGCCTGGGTTAAATCAAAACCACTCTCCAGTCACATTTTATAAACCCAGCACTAATGGAAGTTTCAATTTCTAAGAACTCAGAATGAAACTCAGAGGTTGTGGGGGTATAGAATTTCTTATTTCAAAACCAGGTTAAAAATGTATTTAAACTGGGCCTAAACTTGTTTTTCCAAAATTAATTTAATATGCAAATGCCCATAGTGATCTACTCTTTCTTCATTTTGCTTCTCTTGGGCAATGCAGTTCCAGAAGGAAAATGCAAAATGTAATAAACCAACCCCCATAAATCAAAAGGTCTATATCCACTGAGGATGTGGAGATATCTGGTGTTAGAGTTGAGTGTTTATAGTCTTCATGATTTTTAAATAACTTTCTTGTTGATCACTTTGATAGGCAATTTTCAAAAAGCTGATAGGTGCTGTTTTCTCATTTCTAGGGTGAGAAGCAGTCTCTAAAGCTACAGGTGGAGCGCTTAGAGAGAGAATTACTGCTAAGTCATGAACAAAATGCACAGCTCACCAGCAAGTTGCACAAGGTTGAACGTGAGGTCAATATTCTAACCAGCAAAGTAAGTATTTATGCTGTGTGCTAGGAGTTTTCTCACTTTGTGACCTCTGAGATATCAACAACATAAAGCATAGCGATATGAGATGCATTTTTTTCCTTTGTTTTTACACTTTATTTTGAATCATCTTGCCTCATCTTACTAGACATTTAATGTACTGTATATGGGAAATTAAAAACTTCTACTCAATGATCTATACTAGAGGTGGTCAGCCCTGATCCTGGAGTGTCTTATACAGTACATTGCCTTTAATCATTAATTTATCAAAAGCTTAGAACCTTTATGGATTGTGAGTTTAGTAAGTTAATTAGTTCTATTAAGTCACAAATGGCCAGTTAAGGTGCTTAAGAGCTTTGGGAGTAGATCTCTAAACTTTATTGACGATTGCCTTTCTTTCAAAATTTTTTGGGCACAATTCACAGAAACAGAAAATGCCAACAAAATCCTTATAATTAAGTTTGTGGAAGTAATATTAGAATTATACATGGTATTATTCTGAGGTTGGAGTGGGTTGTCACTGCATTGTTTGGGCAGCAAAGGAACAAGTATAGGTTAATTCCACACTGAAAGTGGGAAAAAAATGTAGAATTTTAGCTGTTGAGCCTTTAGATGAGGATCTCTCCTGAAGAATGGCTAAATTTCAGATATTAACCTCTCTGCTCCAGTTTTGAAGAAAACACAGAAAGGTCTTATAAACATCAGCCAAAGACTCCCCCTCCATTTATGATTTTGATTTCCGCACCAGTTGTGTGTTTCTGTCCTAAAGTGTTTGCTTTTGAATATTGCTTTTTTTGTTAAGGTTAAGCTTTAAAGACTTTTATTAAACATTTTCAGACCATGCTATACAGTATATTTAACCTTTCCAAAATGGGTCTAAATATTGTTTCTTTTTGTGTTACACAAAATGAAATGATGTCCTGAAAAAAGCCCAAACCTTTCAATTCAGTCTGAAGACTGTTTCTTTCATTTTTAATTAAAAGTGATAAGCTTATTTAATTAAACCTTTTGAGTTTTAATTTCTCTTTTGTTATGCTTAGGACATTTTGATCAGACTAATTTTGTCTAAACATGTCATGGCTTAGCTGATTATGAACTAGGTTTACAGACAGACACAAGCAGTTGTAGCTTGGTCTAATAGAAAGATAATTTGATTAACAACATACATAAAATACTTTGAATACTAAGAATTATATTCAGCATTGCACACTAAAATGTTTATTGACAGTACCAGTAAATACTTTCTTGGTCTTGATGGACACAACAAGAAAACATTCTCAAAAAACTGATATTTTCTTTTTAGGTAGAGGAACTCAAACATTCCCATAAGATTGAGGTTGCTAATATTAAACTAGAGTGTGCAAGATCAAAGGGAGAGGTGGAGAGAGAGCGGGACACCCTACAGAACCAACTGGATGGTAATTTACTAATTTCCTCATTTAAACAATTAATAAGCATGTCTCCATTCAGGCATTCTTGGGACCATGTGACACAGAGCTGCCTGTTGCTTTTCATGCTTAAAATTAATGAAGGATCAAAAACAGTAGATATTTCCTGTCCTTTACTCTGCCTGCTGTCCCTGTTCAATGCTATATTGTTTTTCCTCCATGTTTTAACAGGATTGCAGTCAGACGTCGAAATCTTAAAGACCACCATTGAAAGGAACAAGGAGCATTTGGCTGAAAAGGAACGTGAATTAATACGCAAAGTTCAGGCAGTCAGGGAGGAGGAATTTCAAAAACTGGCCACAGTACAGGATGAAAAGTAACTATACATTTGTTTCATCCATTTCGGTTACTTTCAAGTGCCAAACCGTCAGTCTAAACCTAGTGGATGGATGTGTGCACACATACAAGATCAGACCAAATCTATAATAAAAAAAATTCTTCAAAGCATTTGCCATTGGGATGCTACTTTTCTTTCGGCTGTAGGACGTTAGTCATAATTTGTCATGGAGAGAAATCATTATTCTGTAAGAAGAACTAACACATTGGGCAACTCTTTAAGCTTTAATTTAGAGAAAGAAATATGTCACATATGGTAAGTGATGCACTGCGACTGTAAAATCTCCAGCTACTGCTAATGTGGTCAGCCTGACCACATAAATAAAACACTTACTGTAGGGCTGCGCTAGTGTTTTTGAAGTTTGGAGGTTGCAAGGCGAGTTTCTTCAGTGGTTATGTCTGTTGTTGTTGTCTTACAAATGATCTTCAGACAAACATTTTAAAATTGATAGTGTCCAGTTTCTTTAAAGACCGTATTCATTGAGTTTGGTGTTATCCAGTACCGATAGTTGTTAATCCTTTTCTGTAGGTGAATCTTCTCTTTGAAATGTCAGAACCATGTGTCTTTGGGCACAAGTCTATGAAATGCTTTGAAAAATGTAATTAAAAAGTGACAGATGTCAATCTTTAAAATAAAATAAAAAAAACTAATTTCACTTTCCCAAAATTGTGGATAATCCTTTTAAAATATACAGTATTTGATTTATATAAAAGTTAGTGAAAACTCACATTTTATTGTAGGTAAAGCAGAGAACAAAAAAACCCAGGCATGGTTTCAATTAACATATTATTAAAGAAAAATAATAAATTACTAATCATTTTGATTGGTTAATCCACAGATCAGTAATCTCTTTACATATATTACAAAATAATAAGTAACCATAAAAGTCCTTCAAAACTAGAACATAATTCCAAATATCCATATCCCTTGATTTTTACAATCACTTAAAAATGATCTGACTCTTTCGGTTTTCTCAGTACTTGTGATTACTACTCTTTTCCCTCCAGCACTTAGAGATAAACATGAGTTTGTTTGTTTTATGAAAGGTTGCTTGTACTAGGCCATCTGCAGACTTTTCTTTGAAGTAATGTGACATCAGTAAGGTTTCTCATAATTTGCTACATGGTTCCGGGCATTTCACAGGAAGCCTTTTTAATCACTTATGCAAATCTTATCTGTATACCTTTGATATTCTTGGACCCGTGTTTTAGAGTTATATTATTCAAAACAGTCATTCTAGGGCATAGCTGAGGTACAAAAACATTCTTTTACTGAAGATGTTTTTATGCAAGTTAGTAATAGTATCACCTATTGATGTAAGCCTACTTTAATACATGTAATGTTAAGAGATTCCTTACTAAACAGCTGAGGGGATTAGGTTGTCCCGTACACCTACAGTACAGTAAGTATGTTAGATGCACAGTGTTTAATGCTCGTTAAGGCTGACTGGGGCTACGGCTGTCCTGTGTCCTCTGTCCAGGCTGGAGCTGGAGAGCCGCGTGGCGGAGCTGGAGCAGCAGAGGGCAGTGCAGGAAGCTGCAGGGAGCTCGCACAGAGAGCAGTGGGAGGAGAAGCTGCGTGCCGTCGAGCGGAGCGAAGACATCGCCAGGAAGGAAGTCCAGAGCCTCAGGTACTGCTTTCTTTAGTGCTGTTAAGGAAGCTGCTTCAAAAAGATGCATCACATTCATGCTGAAATAGCACCTCCAAAACAAGTCAGCTGCCACCAGAGCTTATTTGTAAGGGTTATTTAAAGACATTTAAAACCCCCCTCAAAGTTACTTTAGAAGTTACTGTATGTACTGGTACGTAGACATCAGAAGTCAGGTTTGAAGATGTTCACTGTGGGTTTCTAGGTCCATAACATAAAACTTCTCACAGCCGTTTTAGTGCTGCATATAATACATGTCTCCCCTTGAAATTTCTACACCTCTGTAGCATTATGTATTACGGGACTGAAAATTCTGAAGTCTCAAAAGCATCAGACTGAAGAATGTATCGATTGCTGACTGCACAGGCTGAAGAAAAGGTTAAAATGGTAGTGCCTGCAATGAGCTACTACAATTAAACATTTCTGCCACTTTGAGTTCTTGGCACTTTGGGTTGTATTGCAATCCGTGATAAATGTTATATGGCTATGAACAGGTTTTAAACAGGCTGTCTTAAGTACAGTATACATTTTATTGACTTCTTAAAGTGTTATGTTATGATAAATATCATAATTTATAATTTCATTTTTCATTTCCAACCAAAGTAATCTGTTCCATTTTTGTTGTGTTTAGTGCACATGGTTACGTTTTTTTTTTTAGGTTTTATGACTGTTTCTTTAGGTTCATGACTTTATTTTTGATAAGCTGAAAGCTGCTTATTCCATTTTTTTCTGTATGGGAGAAAATCCACACAATCGTCATTGAACTATTTTTTATAGGAAGCTGAAGGTTATAACAGAGTTAAAAATTAACAGGCAAAAATTACCTGTCAAAAGAAGAAAATGAAAAATAGTTGCCTCAGTGGTTCCTGCTATGTGCTTGTCACTCTCTGTAAAAACCTGATATTGCACTGGTTAAAGAAGTTCTTGTACTTCTTTTAAATTCATTTTTCTAGCTGTCCATACATAGAGGTGCTTTTTTTTTGTATTCCCTGCTCTTAATTTAGTTCAAGCATTTGATCCCCCAGGTGTTTAGGGCTTGCAAAAGATACACATACGCAAGGTTGTATTTCTTGCTTCCACCTTCTCACAGTGCTTTTTAAGTCTGCATTTCCACCATTACAATTTCTGATTGGAACTTAGCACTCCCAATGATTTTTAGTCTTTTTTTTTCACAAAATGTGCAGCAGACACCTAAGTTAATCTACAGTCCTCTGCTCTGAGTACAACACAGCCTATAAGACATAACACATTCGGGAGTGGGAGTTAGAGAAACAGTTAAAAGTTAGAAAGTTCATTTAGACTTTTACTACATGGGGAAAAAAAAGTTAATTTGAAGATCACAAATTGGGGCTGGTAGTATGCCTTGCTTGCAGAATTGTCTGTTAAATGGCAATTAGCACTTTCGGACAAATACTAAAAATAGCTTCCTAACACTTATAGGCTGTAGCACCTTTAGACTTCAGCTACATTTAGCCGTTGTCTATGTTAACTGTTATAGCGTTACAGATCACAACGGACGTCCTAGTTATTTTTGTATTCATCTACAACTGCGATACATTTAGTGTACAAGGAAGAAAGGTCCTCAAATGTTTTGTTGCTTGTAAAGTATCTTCAGGAATCATTGAACCTCATATGAACCTCATACAAAAATAACTGCCACGTGCTTTCATTTCATTCTCACTCCATTCTCTCAGGACTAAAGTACAACAGCAAAGCCTTCACCTGGAGGATCTGGAGAAGGAAAAGAATGAGAATTGTGACCTCAGACAGGTATAATGCATGTTCACGCAACAAGTGGAGCTTAACATGTATACAGCTCTGCTGTTCAGGTAGTCAGTCACATTTCCACTGTAAATGTCATGTCAGTCACATTCCCATTGCCAGTATTGGACTTGCAAAATATGTAAAAAAAAAAGGTAGGAAAATCTTTTCCTGAATAACATGGCTGTTATATAAATGATTAAAATATACTAGTGCATATTGTGCATATATGTTGTATAACTATCACTTCATCTGCCATGGGTATCATGGTCTACTGTGAGTGTGCTCTATCACAACAAGGGTGATGATATATCCAGAAACTAGGTTGAGAAAACGGATAAATAGGGCAGAGTGACTCTTTAGTGAAGAAGGCATTTCATTTTGATCTGTTTTTTCAAAAATACAGGGAGCCTGTGTGCTGAAGAAGGCAAAACATTCCCAATGGCATAATGTATCATTATTAATGATAATACATATTATATCGAGGGTTGGCAACATCTCTTCAACACAATGGCAGAACGCCTTGTGAACTGGGCAATGGGTGGTGAGGGACAATACATAAGGCAGTACTTTAGAGGTTATTGCTGTATTCAAGTTACACTTACAAATGACACGTGGACAGCATTTTAAAGATCATTATCATACATAAAATGTATAGTACTGAGATGTAAACTGTACTGTGTTTAAGACACTACACAAGGCTGTGCAGTTCAACAGGAAACCACATTTTTATGTACGTGTTCAAACCTTTTAATATCAAGTTATTCTAACACCTGTAATGACATACTAGTAACCAAAAGTAGTAACATTCTTGCATAAAATGTTCAGTGATCATTTATTCAGTTACCCGACTGTGATTCTCCACTCTTGTATGTGTGATTCAATCTGCAATTCATTTTGTGCCTCTAGAGGTTGTGCTGGGATTAGCTGGTTAAGGCTCTGCTGGCTCCCAGCAAAACAGACTCCTGTGGCTTTCCAAAAGTGTACAGGCTTATGGTGAAGTCAGTGAGGGATGTGCCACTCTTCCAGTCAGTACTTAAGTCGCTGCAGAACCTATAGCATGAAATAAGATGAATAGCTTGGAATGATCCCTCTGAATTTCTCTATTTTTAATCCATTCCCTCGGTTTGTTCACCAACTTTCAAATTACAAGGTAATGTTCAGCGTTTGTTCTCCAGATCCTTGTTGGGTTACATTTTTCTTTTGCAAACTGTCCACTCAGCCAATGACCTTCAGCTGAGCTGCACAGAGCAGATTCAACCACTACTATGAAGCTGTCGTTAGCAATAAATAGAAACGGAACTGCGACAAATTTGAGTTTATGGCATAGCGAGGAGTGATACACTGAGGGCTGGGTGTATTGTAAGTTCTAAGTGGTGTTTTTCAGGTCTATTCTTGCACTTCCCACAGTGTCAGTAATTTCCAAGGATGAAAAGTGAAACATTTTAGCAATGGTTATGAAAACTGATACTATGAAAAGTCTCTGTGTTTGACAATATTTCCAAAATCTGGAGAATGTTCTTTTTAATTTTTTGTTTTTTTTATTTCCTCTTTCTGTGGTTGAACCCAATTGTAACAGTCAGTTGTTGCTGTTGAATTGGGAGTAAAGATGGCTGTAACCCACAGAACGTCAAGCAAAAAAATCTGTTTATGTAAAACAGTAAAAGACTATTTCTTTTTCTAACAGTCTTGTTCTTTGTATGAGATTTGAGATTTGTATGATCTAATGAAGTGATGGGGTCAAATTGTTTTTAATAATGTGTTTTGAAAAATGAATTCTGGACATCTGAATGATGTCAAAGTTAGGTTGGATAATTAGATAGTTAATATCAGAAATTTAAACTAACCTTCATAAAGGGACTTAGATAGATGTAAATGTGTATGTGGGGTTACTTTTTTCCCCATGGGCTTATTTTAAATCTGAGTGGTCTGGTGTCCTTTTTTTATTTTTACAGCAAACTCATGAGCTGCAAATCCAAGTCAGCACTCTGTCACAATCGGAGAGCGACTTGCTCGACGCTAATCACAAATTGAAAGAGCTGCTTGAACGGCTGAAGGAGGAACTGAGAAATGCCCGAGGCCAAGCGGAGAAGGCACAGAGTGAAGCAGAAAAGTATATTTCCACTTTAGTCCTGCGAACTGATAACTTCCCATTAGTTTACTGAGCTAAGAAACTGTTGAATTAAAAAGGTGTGAACAAAACGTGTCTTCTCCTGAAAAATATTTCTGATCTTAAATCCGGCTTTGAGGTGGGATGCCAGCTCTGCGTGATAGTGAAACTGAGACTTTAAATTGATTTGCTTTCTTCTTTTTTGGCTTGCATTAGAGGGTTGTCTGAGTATGTGGATCTGCTTTCCCTGAAATACAATAAGCTTCACATTGCAGCTTCCCACAGTGGTCCCATGGCAATCATATTTGTACTTTCAGTTAGCAGTTCCGGGAACTTAGGTTAAGATGATGGTGGGATTTTAGAGAAGTTTATGTAGGACTAAAATGTAGACACAGCTTATTTATGATGGCCTATTGGAAGTCACCGAAAGGTTTTGTGGTGAAGTAGGATTAGAGGGAAGTTCAAATAAAATCAGTATAGAAATGACTGATTGGATCAATTGCCAAAGTTATTATACTGTAAGTGTCTGAGAATACATACTTCTGCAAGTTAGTTCTTTAATGTATAGTGGTTTAAGGGTTTAGCTTTTGAACTGGATAATTTGATGGGGTCAGAATCTGAGCTAGACATGGCTGAAATGGTAACGATTGCTTCTTGACACAGTCTGTTAAAGCACCTGAATGGGAAGATGCTTTAATGACCTAGACTTTTTTTAGACAGCTAGGATATAATTAGGGTGACAGGCGAACACTTTAATTATAAGGTGATAGAACCAGTGGATAGAGGTGATTTAATATTTTAGTATAGTATATAATATTGTATTTGTTGATGTGTACAGTAAATCTCTAAAATTTAAGACTAAAATTATTTGTTTTAAGTAGTGAACCTTTGCATTCAGGTAATTAGAATGAGGATGAATGGACTTCAAAAACACAATTGTTTTAGGGGTGAATTTGTTTTAAGGCTGTGATATTATTTTCCTAGATTTGGATTTATGGCCTTGATGGTTTAATGGAGAAATTATAGGAAATAAGGAATAGGAATAAGAAAACACACCAGGGGAAGATAGTGGTTTACAGGTTGTGTAAAAGTGTCTAAGATTCCAAAATAAAAAAAACAGCACAGAGCTACAGGCACACATGAAAAACTGCATAGAGAATTGCATAGAAGGAGACAGAAGACGGAAAAGAATATTGTAACAGAGTAAAAAATATTTTCATTTAATGAAGTAATTAAGTATTTTCATTTTCAGTGTTACAACAGTAGAGGAACAGTATAAGTGTAAATAGTTAAGATAGCAGGATATAAGTGATAGAAGATTATAAAGTTAGTCAACATGCTAAATTAATATGAAGGTCTCTATAGTAGGTGTCAATAACATGCTCCTTGTTATCTTACATGCTTCAATTTTAATTTAACAGATCTAATACCCACAGGGGAATTAAATGCAGTCTGATTCTCACTGGGAAATTTAATGTAATGTAATGAGTTCATAAAAATATGTTCAGAGCTGAGCCAAGGAATGATTGACTAATTTCCCTTTCTCCTGCTGCTGGTAAAGCTATTGGAACAACAGTCATAGCTGAAGTGAAATAACACTTAGAGAATAATGTCATTTTAAGAGACAGCCAACATAGAACTAGAAAGGTAAGATCTGGCAACAAAGACTGTAGGCACAATTAAAGCATATACCTGATACAGTGTATTCGATTTCCTGAGAGTTTTCTATAAAGTCTTTCCTAAAAGATAAATCATCAAATGAATGGCCATTGGAACTTAAGATAATGTATGCTTATGGGTTAAAAATTGGTTAGTGAGTAGGAAATGGAAATAGTGAGTCATCTTAAGGAGAGTAACCTGGACAGATGCAAGCACCTGTGTACGGCACACATCTGTTTTAGGCTGCTAGCTCTCCCTGATCTATATCTGTGATTTCGATTCAGATCTACAGTAGTTAACAAACAATTTCAGTGTGGCGATGATACAAAACTAGACTAGATAGCAGAAACAGTGGCAAGGGCATTTAAAAAAGATTTGGACAGAATCGTGGTTTGGACAGACAGTTGGCAAATGCAATTTAACATGAATAAGTGCAAGGTGATCCACAGAGTTAGCAGATGCATATATGATATTATTCCATGGGTGACTGTGAGTTGTTCGAAGCTATGCACAAAAATGTATCTGGGTTTTTATGTACATTCACACCAAAACAATTATGGAAATTAGATGGTAAAATTAAAAGAGTAAATGGTATGAGCAAATGCCTGGGTATTTTGCAAAGAGCTTTGCATACATAAATGCAGTAAATAGAAGAAAGTTGTGGTCAAGCTTTACATCAGACTAGTCAGACCACACACATTTAAGGCTATTTTAGTAGTACTAGCAGACAGTCCACAGCAAGCAGAAGATAGTTGTGCTTGATCAAGGCCATCCAGCCCCTGTGATGCTCGGCGAGATGCGCACAGCTGTTTCGGGAAATTCTGCTCATAGTTGACTGATGGTGTTGTCTCAGACTCGAATTAGCGAAGTCTGTGTTAGAGAGCTGAAGCTTTGCTCCAGATGACTACCTTTACAGTCTGAGCTATCCCCTCGGCTGTGAGGCTGTGAATGCAAAATAAGATTAACATTGTTCGAATGAAAATCAAATAAGATCTTTTAAAAAGCATGTAGTTTAAGTTTTTTAATTGTGGTTTTAAGCCCTAAAAAAACATTTTCAGTACACTGTTTTAAACATTGTGTACATGCATTCTATGTGGTTAGTGTAGTAAGTAATATAATTTATTGTGATTCGGAAACTTGTAGATGTATTGAACCATTACAAGAGCTACTGGTGTCTTACTTTACTGTAAATATGAGGCTGTCCTGCCCCTAACAAGGTGCTTTTTGTCCTGTCCCTGTTAAAGAGTTCTTGAGGACAAGCGTATCTCCTGGCTGGAGGAGAAGCATAGGCTACAGGAGCGAGGTACTGAACTGCAGGAGAAGTACAACCAGGCCAAGGAGAAGCTACAGAGAGCTGCATCAGCTCAGAAAAAGGTATCCACTGTGAGCAAATTGATTTCCTGAATCCGCGCCTAGTTTACAGTGATAGTTTTCTAACCTTTGTGACTCTGCAAGCTCTGTTGGGAAAGAATATATTAAAAGGTAAGATTCAAACAATGCCAAGCAAGATGAGTTTTCCAAGCAGACAGCAATGATTGATGAAGAGTAATACAAAATCAACTTCTTGTTGTTTATTTAAAGAAAAACCTTACTGAAAGAAGCTGCTCTGTGTAAATTCTGCCTCTGACCAATAAACCTGTAGGTCTAATGTAAAATGAGTTTTGTATATATATTTTTTTTCTTTGCAGCGGAAGACATTAACTGAAAGTAAACAAAAACGACTACAGGACAAAATACAGCTGCTGGAGGCAAAGATACAGGAATTAGAAATAGAGAAGAACACCTTAAACAAGTACGTTTCAGGCCTTTTCTTTTGATAGAATGAATCAAGCAGAAGAACATCTTGCTATCAAAACATGAACTGTAAATTTTTGTTTTGCAAAAAAACAGAATTAAGCAAGGCCCATGATCCACTTTGTTGTTACAGTAAGCAAATCTTAGTGGTTATTTATAGCAGCACTCAAATCTGCGGTGACCCATTTTTCAAACAGACTGAAACCTTATGCAACCGATGATGTGATTATCTGAATTCTCTTTGCAGAACTAGAGGCCTGGGTTAAAACTAGTGTATTCTATAAATGAAGACATAAACCAGTAGTTTGCATATAGTTTGCAAAGCATATGAAAGTCTCAAACAAAAACAAAAAAACATTGACATTGAAGATGGTAAACATTTTAATATTCATTTGCATACCATTAGGTCACTCATTCCCTTAATTATAAGCTCTTTAAAAAAAGCATATTATTATTTTTGCAACTGTGTGTCAGTTATTCTGCATCTTTAAAGAGTGTAACATCGGTTAGTGCTTCTGTAGTTTTGAATTGACAGTAAATGTAACAAAACCTCAGAAGGAAATACACCGCCCAGATTTTGTTTCTGAAGAGAAGTGAATTTTCCTAAAGCAGTTTTTCAAGTGAAGTTACTTCTGTAGTAATGTATTTGGTCTGTGCTTATTTGCTCTAACTGCAGACCTAGATGTATTAAGAGGTTTTTTTGTCGTTGTTACACTGCTTGTAGTTTATTGCGCTTTATTTTTCAGGAAGCCAATCTATACGGAGGAACAAGCGCAGCTTCAGAAACGACTGAAGGAGTTACAACGCAGACACAATGAGTTCCGCAGACTCATTCTAGTGCCACACATGACATCCGCGGGGATCAACGATCCAACCCCTTTTCTTTCATCCACGCTAGTGGCAGCAGCTGACATGAGTTTCCCCAATCTCCAAGTAAGGTGCCATCTGGGCAGAGCGAAACCTTTCTCCTTTCAGAAGCTCGATTTCCACGTAATCAAGAATCATCCTTTGTATGGCTGGGTGCGATTCATCCCCTTTTTGAATGAAGTCTATCCACATCTTTTGCACAAGTTAACAAGACCTGGTTTCAGGTTTGTTGTTTTCACCGTCTTTGTCCAACACCACAGTCTTTAATACTGCCTTCGATTTGCAAGGTCACAGATGTCTGGCAAGCTGTTGCCAGCTGTAGCTGAGTATGCCCAGGCCAACCCTAACGTTGCTCAGGTAAAATGCACTAGGGCCTGGGGATGCCTAGGGAATCCTCACCAGATCTAATGACGGCCTGGGTTTGAACTAGTAATGCCTGGAGTATGGGACTCAGCCTGACCGTTTGGGAACACCCTACTCTTAACATTCTTATGGGTGGGCAAGCGCGTGGGTGAATGGAGGATTGGGTTGCTGACCCACTGTATTTGACACACAGGAAGAGCAGCATCAGAGGGAGCTGCGTCTGTTGCGGAAGAGACTGGAGGATCTGGAGACGACGCAGCAGCAGCAGCTGGAGGAACTGGGTGCCCCTGTGGAGCGCGAGTGACAAGAAAGCGCTCGATAAAGCAAGGAGACAGAAAAGGATTTTTAAGATCAAGAACAGGAGGCTGTGCGAGGGAACAGTAATTGGTAATCACCACGGCTTGCTTATGGAACTGTATGATCATTTCGAAATTATTAACATGCATGAATTGATGCAACGTTTTATGGCTTTAAGTCTTTAATTTTTACAGTACATGTGGAATTCAATATCCGAGCCAATACAAAGGCATGACACTTTTTCAACACTATAGTACAAAATACCTTAAACACTTAAACCGACATTGACATCTCCTACAGTAATTATTTTCATGGTCTGTGCAGAGCTTGTGCACCTTGTCCATTTAATTTATTGATTAATTACTGTAGGTGTTCTTTTGCATGTACTATATGTGTGTGGATTAATCATCAAATGCTTTACTTTATTGGGACTTAAAAACAGCATTATAAGTCCTACTTAAACACTGTACAAGATGATAAAACTACATGCACACAAACCAATTATTAAAATAAAATGTAATATAAACCCTGAGGACCACTGTTACTGAGATTCATCTGCAGAAAGTCCGTCTCACTTCTCAAAGCCTTAACGGTGTCATTTTCACCTGACTTTTCTCTACTTGAAGTTCTGCTCCTAGCTTTTGGCTGAAATTCTCTCGTTATGGACCATTATGGATAATTTTGTGCCTTTGATGACATTACAAATCGTTGTAAAGGATAATATGTGTTGACGTATAATGTTGAGTATTTTTTAAGAAAGGAAAATCTTAAATCACCTAATTTATTGAATCTGCATGGTCACAACAGTTCCAGATCTGCTTAAATAGCATCTGATTTTGAAGTTTACATACTTTGCCATAATACATTGTTGTTTATTGTTGCTTTATTGTTTGCTCTTTGCACATCTTAAAATGTGGAGATCTGTGAAAAGAAGAAAGTCTGTAGTGACCGGGTTTTTAGTACAGCTCCCAGCTGGTGATATGATCCATGATCAAGTCATCATGGTGAGAGAATGTCCAGGTTGGTAACCTGGTAAACAGCAAATTGTTTCTGTTACACAGTATGTACGGGTAAGCACCTTTTTGTCAATTTGAATGCTTTCCAAACTGTGCTACAACTTGAACACCACCAAACCATGGCCTGTCTTCGGTATATGTCGGATAATCATTCAACAATGTGACATAATTGTCTTTGCAAAATCATATTTAAAAAGTGGGATGATGGTGTTGCTTATAACCTATCAAAAGAAATAGTCCTTTAATATACCTACAGAAAATAAGTTCATATCTTTTTTTGTACTTAATTATATTTATATTTAGAATTTTGTACATGATTTGTATTAAAATATTTAAAATCACCTTTTGTCTGAATTTCCTTTTTTGCATTTCAGTGTTGGCTGTCTAGGATTATTAGAGTAGTATCTTTTGGATGTTGGAGCTCTTGCTGCAGTAGTCATTGGAGGAGCATCATTTGCTGTTAATCAGTGCCAATAGAAGTATAACAGCTACTGTAGTAACTATTATAGAGATCAAGCTAGAACTGAATATGGAAATTACAGTAACATCTCATTGTATGTGAATGCACAGTGTAAAAGTGTAAAAGAATTCACAACAAAGTGTACTAAGATTCTGAGAAATCTAATGATAGAACTTGCAGCCCATCCAATCTTTTATAATCCACAATTACCAGAAATTTAATGCCATGAAATTTGATCTACCTGAATGACTGGATTGCTGGCTGAATTTCAAGCCTTCTGTTTATAAATTGATAGAATAAAATACTCAGAATCTTGCAAATGACATTAATGTAGTTGTAGTAATATTTTTTTAAAAGCATAGCAGGTCTTACTTAACAAATCTGTTAAAGTTCTTTCAGCAGTAAAGAACACAATCAGAGCACCTTTGGTGTGTCTGGAACACTGCTACACATTTTTTATGAATTAGTGGTGGCGGCGGCCATCTTCTGCGCTGTTGTGTGCTGGGGCAGCAGCATCAAGACAAAAGATGCAAATAGGCTCAATAAACTTATCAAGAAGGCTGGCACTGTGTTGGGGATAACCCTTGACCCCCTGGAGGTGGTGGCTGAGAGGAGAATGCTGACCAAGCTCACAGCCATCATGAACAACACCTCTCATCCGCTTCATGGGACTGTTACTGGGCAGCGCAGCACTTTTAGCAACAGACTGCTCCAGCTATGGTGTTCAAGGGATCGTTTCCGCAGGTCTTTCCTCCCGGCGGCTGTCAGGGTGTATAACGCTGCCCTAGGCTAGGACTGTTAGCCCTTCATTTGCTCATCTATGGACAACATGTTTGCTCCATTGTACTTTTTGGACAATCAGTCTGTATAAACTTATGCATATTTTGCACATAATTTTATTGATTCTACAGTGACTATGGTCATCACATTTTGCACACACATATGTATTTATTAGGTATTTTATATTTATTGTGTTGTCTTTTGTTCTTATAACTATTCTGAGTCTGTTTTTGCTTGTCTTGGGCTGGACTGCTGTAACACATCAATTTCCCTACGGGATTAATAAAGTCTTATCTATCATATGGGTATATAAAACAAAGTTTTTGATAATGTTCCTTATAAAAGATGATTTTGTAATTTGCATGTCATAGGCATTAAATGTTGAAAACTGCTTAATGCATACAAACAATTGAAAGAGGTGAATCCTCCAATTAGGGTGAAATAATTTAGTAGTATAGGAACAAGTAAAGGTTTATTCCATGCTGAAAAGAGAAGAAAGGAAACAGCGTTTCAGCTGTGGAGCCTTTTTCAGGTGTGAGGGTGTTTCCTTTCTTCTCTCTTCAGCATGGAATAAACCTTTACTTGTTCCTTTGCAGCTTATGCATGCTGATTCAGCTCCCTACTTGAACTAATTTAGAAGTATACCAAAGGCATCGATATTAAGAGCATTGCTGCTTTTAGTTTATACTGCATCATTACTTTAGTTCCAGTATGGTTAATAAACCAGTCAAGTTTGCAGATACCAGAATAGGAGGACTAGCAAGCAATGGAAAGCATTATTCAAAAAGACGCAGAGTGTTGTATGCGTGTAGGAAAAATAAATACCAATAAGATGGGAAATGCTAAGCTAGGAGATGCTACCTATGAAAAAGGACTTAAGCCATTTCATCTTCTAGACTGGTTGTTCTCAACTCCTAGCCTCAGGGACTGCAGTGCTAGCAAACGTTCTGCTTGCTTGTTTAGGCTCTTTTTCTGCAAGTCGGTCGGTTTCAAAAGTAACTTAGTTAAGGTAATACTTCCAGCAATACTACAAGCAAACAGGATTCTGTGATGTCTCACCTCAGTTTAGAATTTGCTCTTAAAGTGCGGGCAAAGGCGAGAATAATCAATGCATGCAACTGAATAAGTGTCTCTTCCTTCCCCCTAAGTCCAGTAGGTTGTATGGCATTTCAGCTGACACACCTCATAGAAAGGAGATTTGAAACTCAGGACACAGGGTTGATACCGATTACAAACCCAATACAACCACTATAGGATCTGAATGGAAATTCAGAAGAGGAACATAGCTGCTACAGAGTTGCTAATTGACATTAATCTGCCTGTAATGAAGAATGCTATCCCGGCAAGCAACAGGTGCAAGGCTTACAACCTGGAGAGGATGGCAGTCCATCAAGGACCTTATTCTTTTTTAGCCTTAAACAGAAGAAACAAGGAGTGGACCTGACATGTCCTCAGAGACATTAAGAGTGTGCACAATGACAACTGAACCAGAGGACACCAGTGAAAGCAAAGAGGAAGTGAGTTTAAAACAAAGAACAAAGAGCTGTTTTCTGCACAGAGGGTTGTGGGAGACTGGGACACGCTTTCCGGCCATGTTGTCGAAGTTGTTGCTCTGGCTTCTTGTCAAGAAATGGCTGCATGTGGTCATTGGATCAACTACTGTAGCACCTAAAAAGCGAACAAGCTGGACAGGATGAATGGCCTCCTCTTAACCTTAATGTTCTTTACCGCTACGTACATTGCATTTTTAAAAAATGCCTGAAATGTTACTGCTTTACACATCACTCAAAATGTTGTAAAGGCATAGGTTTATTTCCAACACTGAATTGTGTGTACTCTAACACCTTAAAAAGTATGTACATTTTATAATTTCATCATACAACAGTATACAATAGCTTTACTCTCACATTCCTACTGTATCTCATGAAAACATCAAACATCTTTGCTTTAATGTGCTAGTGTTAGCGCACTTTACAATGTAATTGATGGTTGCAGCTGTTGTGTTTCCACGCTGTTTCCTTATATAATCCTTTCACCAGTTTTTACATTGCAATTTTCTGCACGCTCCACCCAAACTAGGGTGTAATGTTATATTTTTTTATTCTAAAATAAAGGCAGTTCTTTAAATGCTTTTTTTCTAAAAAAAAAAGTGAAATACAAAAGACAAAATACACAAAACCTTCCTTTTCAGTATTTAAAAAAAGCAACATTTGCCCCAATTTTAGTATAAAAACACTACTTCTAACTTTCAATAAGTTAAATGCTGTTCTCTAAATGATCTCTGCCATCAAACATGAAGGAATATTCAGATACCATCTGAATAGCAGTTACGTTTCTATTGTGATAAAAAGATGGAATGAAACATTCAGACATCCCTTATTTTGACTACAAGCATCATATTTAAGAAACATGAATTCTATGGAACAGCCAAAAATATCCAACCACACATTTTCTAACAGCTTTATTTGATTCAGGGTCACAGGAAAGCCAGTGCCTATCCCAGCTACAGGCTCAAGCCAGGATACACCCTAGCCAGGGCCCAAGTCCATGACGGGGCACACAGTCACAACACACTCTTACCACGGCTAATGTTCCCAAGACTCAATTAATCTACCAGTCTCTGGACAGTGCAAGGAAGCCCGAGCACATCTAAAAATTTGTAATTTCCAAAATGATTTCAATACACCATTAGCCTGTCTATAGTTTGTTATCTCTCTTTCTAACAGTTAAGTTAACTTAGGCTTGCAAGATCAAGTAGCAAGATCTGTTTGTGTTATGTGAATAAAGTATGTTCCATAAATATTTATTCTTTCAAAAAAATGTATCAATGTCTTACCAGTTTCAACAGCCTCACAAAAATCTTCTAGTTAAATGGATGTTAAATACGCTTTTTTACTTATTTCTGAGGTATGAGAAATCTATTTTTACATTTTAAAATAATTATATATTTTTAGATTTAAGACAAATGGATGGCTTATTCTGCTGAGTCACATGGCCATAGAGCTGTGTGAAAGTAATACAATTGAACAAATAAAAGATCACCTTGAACTTAAAGTATTAGTGCAGTACAGCTCCAGCATCGTTAGTATTCCAGAAAGTGTCATATACAGTATATGTGCAAACGTTTTTTTTTAATTACTTAAAAGTACTGATTTCGACTAAACCTCTCCCCGCCTTCCTGTACATGGCAGGAATGGAAGATTATTCCCACTTCCACATCTTCCGTCCATCGAAGACATCCTTGACGTGACTTAGCTGTTGCTTCAGGTCACTGGGAGCTCCGCTCTGTTCCAGTTTCAGCTTGATCTGTTGGAACAACACACAGGTCAAAACAGCCAGGGCCCTGCTCACCCGCCCAGGGTCTCATGGCGAACATTCAGTCTCTGTTTCCTGAACATGTTTAGAATGATCCCTGCCATTAAAAGTAAAGAATGTGTACCAGAAACAGCAATCATGATAAAGAGCATTCTGAAGCCTATAGCCTGACAAACAGTAAAACAACTTACTACAGTAATGTAGAAAAATGATTTGGCATTGCTTTACATGAATTTACTTCGGGCTAAGAAATACAGTCATAGCTCTTTCAATTAACACCACATAACACAACATTACAATATTATCCTGCACAATCCTTTATTACCATTTGTGACATTACAATTATAGGATTATTATTATTGTTTTTATTCCACAATATAATTTAAGCCAACAGCAAAGAGCAAAATTCCAGGTAGAATTCAAGTGAAAATGATACAAACACTTTTTGCAGATGCAGTTCAGCAACAATGGTTCAGGTATTTTTGTGAAATTGTGATGTATGGTGTTAATGCATGTTGTGTAGTGTTTATAAAAGAGTTATGACTGTTTTCAACCTTAATTAAATCCTTAGTTATCATTTTCAGTTCAGTTTACAGTATGTGTAAATTTTCAAACAGTTTTATGATGAAGGCACATTGACTTGTATGTTTCTGTTCATTAAGTGTACATTGTTTTCACTGGAAAGCATGCACTAAGCAATCGTACTTCTTAACTTTCCACCTCAGAAACACCACTTAAGACTGCTGTTGTCACACTCATATTTTCCTTTAGGAATTATTTCCATGCATAACGCTAACAAATAGAAATTATAGACTTTACTAGGTCTATTGAATTATCAGTCAAAATGAACGGGTGTAAGAAACTGGGACTTTCATGGATACTTCTTAGATTTATGTCTCCATTCATCCATTTCATAACTGCTTCTTCCAGTTCAGGGTTATATGGGAGCCAGATCCTATCCTGGCAAGCAATAGGTGCTAGGCAGGGGTTTATGTAGTCAGTTACACTTCTAATATTAAAAGAAATGCAATGTTACAATCCAAAAATGTGCATGGGGCTTAAGTGACATCAATACAGAGCACAGAGGTATTTTCCATCAAGTAGCATATGCACACATACTACAATTTGAACTGTGTGCTCAGGTTTATTTGAATACGTCTAAAACGGGGATTATAAAATAAGATATTCAAAAAATTCAATCCCCCCCCCAAGATTCAACATAAATAATAGGTGCACACAGCTTAATATCCAGCATCACAGAAGAGAAAGCTATAAGAGGTTTGTGTACAATTAGTCTCATACTGTGTGCAGTACCATCAATAAATTCCTGTATAATATGAGTTTAAGGCTGTTTGAGTCCAAATCAAGTACTTCACGTCTTTTTTGAGAGCCTAAAAATAAATCTACAGCTGTGGAACAATGATAGCACTAACACCAATGGGTGAACAATTATTCTACAAGTAACTAAAACTGTAATGCAAGTTAAATTTAGCTTCATGTGTATAGAAAGATCACTTTATTAGCCATATACAATTTCTTGCATTAGGAACTTGTCTTTTCACATACCCCAGCTTGGTCTCTATGAGACACACAAGCAGGGAGGGAGAAGCTTGAGGTCAGAGCACAGGGTCAGCCATTTAGACTACTCTCAACAGAGTAGGGTTCCTCTGCCAGCTGCAGGATTTGAACTGGCAACCTTCCAGCCACAGAACCACAGTGCCACCGCTCCACCCAATGTATAAAAGCATTGTGTTTTTATTTAATATATCTTCTCCTTTGTATTTTGTTCTGATTATTTGTAAATGATAGATAATCCTTTTTCCCACAAGGATAATTACCTACCTCATCAAAATATTGAAATATATACTTGTAGATTTCATGAAGAGCAGCAGATTCGTTAAATTCGTTTTCATGTTTCTGAAAGGGAAATGGTAAGGTTACAAGAAATCACAAAAAATTAGTACATAAATAACAAAAATATGTCTGCTTCTAAACATTTAATACCTTTGATTCCTCCTCCAGAAATAATGTAAACTCTGAGAAACCCAACAAAGGCTGATCGTGTATTTGCTTGTAGTATGCCTTCACCTCCTCCTTGTACTGTGGTATGTCTTTGGCATAGAGGAGTTTATTTGTTGGAGCATGCTAAAATCAAACAGGGAAATGAATGAGCCTTCAACACATTTACTGTCATTTCCTTCTTCAGTATTATTTTTAATCTGGAAACCCTCTAAATTAAAAAATAGAACAAGAAACAATTTTGGGCCTTGCTTAATTTAGAGGGAAAATACAAAGCAGTTCTTAGTTAAAATGTCCTTAGCTAAGGAACAAGAAGTAGCCTGATTTAGCAAAGAAAAGACTGATATAACTTCCAAAACAGAACAAACAAGCATCTTTTTTCTTCTCCTTCTGGTTTTGTTGTGCAGCTCTTCTTTGATATTTGTTCCAATTCCTGCATCTTCATATCTCAGGGTGTGCTGTTATGTATTGTAGACACTGTTCTTGCAATAAGGAACAATAGGCATTTACAAGGTATAAACACTCATCTGGGGCTGGAAATGAAAGAATCCCCAAGCACAATTCTAGATGAGGGGAAGCAGGTCATGCTGCACACCCGTGTAAGTACCGGAAACATGGAAAATCACCTTTCCAAGCTGCTGCTCTGCTAGGGAGAAGGAATCCATGAATGCCTGAGCTATGACTGACAGACAGCTATCGAGATGGGCAGTCTTTTCCATGTCAAAGACAAACTGGGGGTTTTTCAGGATATTGACCCAAAACCGCAGAGGAAGGCTGGAGAAGGGAAAAGAAAATAATTATGTACCACACCCAAGTGTTAAGCAGCATTAGTTCATCCATCCATATTCTAACTTCTTCTCCCCCGTCCAAGTAACAGGCACAAGGCAGGGTACACTCCAGTCCATCACAGGGCAGACAGACACAAACACAGATGCGTGACACACTCACCGCAGGGCCAGTTTTTCCCGGAAGACAATGGACCTGCCACTATGTTTTTGGACTATGGGAGGAAACCCACGTGAATAAAGTGAGAACCTGTAAACGCCATGCAGATAGCACTGTAGGTCCAAAACTGAACCAAGCACCACAGCCCTGCAAGGCAGTGATGCTAACCACTGTGCCACCATGCAGGATTAGATCATGTTTTAACAAAATGAAAGTGCTGTACCTGTTGGTTTTCCAGATGTGCAATACATCTGGATCAGTGATTTTCTTATTTTCCGCTTGAGCATCCAAGAAGTCAAAGAAGTATTTTACCGCCAGTGGAGCCTTGCCGTTGGGCAAGCCCCATATTGTTTTGAAGAGGTTTTCAACAAAAGAGTGAACTGCAACCTGAAACAGGAAGTGGTTACAGATGGTAGGCTCTTTCGTAAGAATTAAGCTGAAGACTGCTGATTGTATTTCTTATTTTGGGGTGGTGGCAAATTTCAATGTCTAACATTGCAAAAACATCAAATTTAGAATGTCGGAGTGGAATATTTGTACAGTAGTTGAGTCATGCAAATTTGTGTGCACTTTTTAACTTGCGGGTTGGCACCACAGCTAGTCTACAGTATATTTCAAGACTTGAACAAATTACAAAAATAAGTGCCACCTTCTTCTAGCTGCAGTTTCAACAGTGAATGATATAGACAAAAAATGTCTTTACCTTTGAAGACAGAAGTTTTGTCAGGTAGACTTCCTTCAATTTTAACTTTTTTCTTTGAGGATTTCCTTTCTGAAGGTCATCTATTTCTGGGCCATCTGCTTCAATCTGCAAGCATCAAATGGTTAAACACAGAATATACTGTACAAAGCTAACCTGAGAGATCTTTACCTCAGAGATCACACTTACCAAATGGCAGTATTTTGTGGAGTAGTTGTCATCATCTAAACAAACATAGACATAAAAAAGACAATTACAATTACCAATGACACATTATTTCAGTAAGTCATGCATGTTTGTCCCATACACATGCAATAGAAATATGTATAAATGCTAAGACATTAAATCCCCCCACTGTCAAGTTATTTAGCCTAAGATAAAAGAGAATATGTTGTCTATTGTACCTTTCATATACTGTACAACTTTATTGATGCCACTTTTGAGTTTATCTAAGATTGTGTTTTTATTTTATTTTGTGATTATTTTTATTGTAAAACAATTTTTAAAGAACACAAATACAACAAAACAATTAATAATGCCTCAAATATTTTGCTAATATCACAGGGCTGTTTTATTAATTCCATAATTTAAACTACACTGCTGGTTACATTTTTATGAAATTAATATATGATTAATAAAAGACTTGTACTCCACCTCCACCACAAGTAGGGAATAGTGTCCAGGTTTTACATTCCTTTCACTTTATTAAGCTTTTTAATTACAATATCCTCCGTAATATCATAGAATAAAATTAATGAAAAAACAAGATATTGATTCCTACTTTTTGAGATTGCCGATATCCAAATGATCCTTTATTAAAGTCAAACTGGACCAGTTTTATATTAGTCTTACCAATTGTTACAGTGTATAACACTTTAATGACTCCCTTTCTTTGTTGTTTTTCCAGCTGTTCTGTGTGTGGAGGATATTGCTAGGTCTGTGTCACAAGCTCTGTAAAGACAGCCATGTGGATGCCCCTCTGTGAAAGCATGTTTCAACTTTTTATTCTGTAGTAACAGGCATATAAATTCAGACCAGTAACTCCAAGTATTCAATAAAACAAACACTACACACTGTCAAAGTAAAGAAGCATATATGCAATTCTTGCCTTGATCAGACTGTTTTTACATGCCTATTAATTCACACATATACTGTATTTTTTGTTTTTAATTAATTCTGAGCCTTTGTTCCCGGGGAGAGGGAGGACTGCTAAATAAACACTTGCTTGTTCAGCTAATGATATTTTGAAAGTATTGTGAATTAGTTAATTCTTGCCACATTTGTAGAGAGAGGATTTATTTTTCACTGGAAGTAGCTGACATGACTCAGTAGTGACACTGAAAAATATTCACCTTTTATGCTTTCCTGAGTAGATAAGGTGGCTCGAGCAATCTTCTTTGTCACTCTAACACTGTCTCCATCTGAAAGCTAATAAAAAATGAATGCATAATAAAGATCCATGACTGCTTGTTTTAATTATCCATCCATTGATCCATTTTCTAACCGCTTCTGCCAAATCAGAGATGCAGGGGAGCCAGAATCTATTCCAGCAAGTTACAGGCACAAGGCAGGGTACACGCTGGACACCTAGTTGATTGCAGGGCAGACCAGACACACTCACAGCAGGGCCAATTTTAGCAGAAGCCAATTAAATTACCAATTTGGTTTTTTGGCTGTGGGAGGAAACCAGAGCACCCACAGGAAACTCACACAAACAGCATTCCAGGTCCAGATTTGAACCCAGGGCCCCAGCACTGTTAGGTGACCATGCCAACCACTGCACTACCATGCCACCTTTCTTTAAACCACCTTTCATAAAATAGTTTTATTTATACAAATTTGGTACGAAAATAATCATACATCAACTAATAAATATTTCCCCATAAATACCGGAAAGCTGTAACACACAAAACTCAAAACAAACCATTCATCCATTCATTAGAAGTAAAATATACTGTACGGTATATTGCTGGCAAGAGTTACAGCAATCTAGGGCCTATCCTGAAAGTGTAAGATTACACCATGGGCAGTACATTAGTCGACTGCAGGGCACACCACCTCATCTGTGAAACAGGACATGCATGGCTGCCTCTGGAAATGGCTGTAACTTATTGATGGTGTAACTGGTGATGGTGGCAGCAGAATGAATTCAGAAGTGTACAAAAACCTACGTCCAAACAAATACTGCCAAATTCACTGGACAGTAATTCACCCTTCAGCAAGATGATGACCAAAACCACACATACAGTAGTGCACTTAACCACGGAGTTCAGCAGGAAGAAGAAGTGGAAACATTTGAACTGATCAAGTCAGCACCTGATTTGAAACCTATTCACTTAGAGAAGAGGAAATTAAAGTCATAAATCCCCACAACCAAACAACAGCTGAACGTGGCTGTAAATGAGGCTTGATAAAAGAAACTCTAAAGAACATACAGTACCAAGAGTCTGGTGATGTTGACGGGTTGCAGATTTGGAGCAGTCATTGAATGTATGGTTTACGGTCAAATACTAACTTTAAACTAGTTTAATTTACTTAAAGTTAATTCGTCACAATAGTTATGCTGACCTGTAATGAGGGGATTGAACTGGACAAATGATATTGTCCTAACATGTCTGAACACATATGTAAAATAATAATTGGACCCAAAAGCTGAAATTCTATACTTTTGTCTCACATCAATCTTTTGTTGTGAAATACAAATGTCATCAGTACACTGCAACAATTTCACTTCGTTGTCCCGATACTTATGCTTTTCATTGTAGCTTTCATTCATTCTTCCTTGCTATTCATTGGAATTTGTTTGTATATCAACAAATGGTGCTATTTACTTGCCTGACAGTGTGATGACCTATGGAGTGAAGAAAGTGCAGTGGCTTCTCTATGTTTTCGTGTTTGTGTTGCAAGTCTGGGAGTTTCAGATCTGAATGATGTCTGGTTTTATGATAACCTTTGGGTATCTGCAACTTGCACAACGGCAGCTTCTTTGGTTAGAAACCCAAGTAATTACTGCATGTCTGGCTGAAATAAACTCACAGGTTAGATGTACCCTAAACCACAAGTTTTTTTTGTTCAAAAAGGTTCATTACTTTCAGAGCTCCTTACTTTTATTTTTTTTCTCACCTACCTGATAGTGCCCAATCGTGTTCAGCCTTTTCACTCCATTTTCCCCAACCTTTGAAGTGGAATCCACTTCTTGAAGCTTGAGAACGCTGCCTTCCTTTTCATATTCTTTAAATACAAAACAGAAAGCAAGGAGATTGCTGAAACATTTACAAAACAAATAAGCATGAATAGAAAGGCTAGAAAATCAGGTCAGAAAGAGTAAGCTGCTGTGAAAAGTCTGTGGCTTGCAAGCGTTCATTAAATATTTGTTAAATGTAATACATCTAATTGAAACCTACCTATAAGTGCAAACATATATTCCTAAATCTATAGTGCTTTATCAAAGTATTCAGACCCTTGCATACAGTAGTATCCATAGTATTCAGACCCTAGTTTTCACATTCTGTTGCCTTAAAGCTGGCAGTCATGACACTTTGAAGTAGCAATCAGTGTTTGTTTTATACACCACCTACTCTACACATTCAAAGCAAAAAACAAAAAGATGTACATTTACAATTAATATGAAAGGGAAATAGGAAAGTGATTGTATAAGGATGCAAAAACTTGTTAGGGAGGTCACTGTGAGGTGAACAGCCATTTTGAAACAGTTACAGAGTGCATTGGTTGAGATGGGAAAAAATGACCGTGAGTCAACAGTACCTCAGTCCACAAAGGGGGCTTTCAGTTACTGAAAAAACACAAACTCCACATGGGGCTTGCAGAAAGCACTTAAGAAATACTGCAATCATTTTGCAAAGGGGTTGTAGACAGACAAGACAAAATTGAACTTTTTGCTGTAAATGCAAAGTTTTGTATCTGATGCAAACCCATCACAGTGCATTACTCAGTCATCACTCTCTCTATAAGATATTGTGTTAGTGGCAACAATATCTTATAGTTCTACTTCTCATCCGCAGGGAGTAGGATGAACTTCAAGACTGACTGGAACACAAATGGATCAAAGTACAGACAAATCTTAGAGAAAAACCTGCTTCAGACCTAAAACTGGGACATAAATTCACCCTTTACCACTATAATGATCAAAACCATGAAACCAAGACTGCACTTGAATGGTTTAAGAATAAGAAAGAGATCCAGTCAAAGTCCTGACTTAAATCCTATTGAGAATCAGTGTGAAGACTTTAAAATTGTCTATAAGTGATACCCATGCAACGGAAGATATCTTGAGCAAGAAGGAAAGACAAAACTTAGAACAAGCCAGAGTGCACAGGTGAAAACATAACCAAAAAGGCTTTAGATTGTAATTTCTGCAAAAGACACTTCATCAAATATTGAGACTTCAAAGTCTGAATAGTTATGTAATCAACACATTTCATTTTTTTCTTCTTGTTTTTTTCTGACATATACAGTAACCTATTTTACCCTTAGATGTTTTCAGTTTGAGCACTCATGTTTTTAATACAACATAAGCTTTTTAAAGAAATGGGTATGTATCATTTTTTCACAAAATGGGACACTACAGGAAGGGTCCAAATCTTTGTCCAAGGAACAGTACACCGACCAAAACTGGGGGCTACCCTGAGACAGACAGAACAGGAACAGACAGTTCAGCAGCTCAGAGCTAAGACATGAGCCCATGCAAATCTGCACAGCATTGAAAACACAAAAGCAAAAATGAAATAAGTTTAATGGACAAAACCTTTTGGAGAACCCAAGTTCCTGTAGCCTAAAAATAAACACCTACCAATATCAATGTCCTTCAGTTGAACATGGTAGGGGTAGCCAAATTTGCTCTTAAAACTCCGTAGGATCTTCTCCTTTGCCTGCTCAGTGGTGTCACAGTCCAAAACACTCACTTCCAGGGTGGCCCCTGCTTCTTTCTCCCCATCTGGAAGAGCCTGGAATAAAACCTTCAGTTTCTGGAGCAAAAAGAAAACAGGAAGAAAGCAAAGTTGAACAAACTCCAGCTCTTTTTTCATTCAGTCTAATTTAGTAAAAGTCCTGACTTCGATTGTGGTGTCCTTTTGTAAAGACTTTAATAACAACAACAGCGACAACGACAGTAATAATAATTTCCACACCACTCAAAAGAGTTTTAAAGGTAATGGGGACGCCTCTCTACCTCCAATGTGCAGCCCCCGCCTGAATGATGTGACTGTAGCCAGATTGCCCCAGTACACCCACCACACATTAGCTCTCAATGGGGAGGAGAACAGAGTGATGAAGCCAGTTCATAGCTGGGGATACAATAAGGGCATTAAGACCTACACGGACCGCAGGGTGAGCAGGGTGAATTACTAATCCCACTAATACCTCTTCCAGCACAACCTTAGCTTTCCCAGGAGCCTTTTCTCCCCGTGTCCATGAGGTGTCTTCCTGGATGTTCCCATTCCCTCTCAATTCCACAATGCAAGCTTAGGTGGATTGCTAGTTCCAAATTCTGTGTGTGCCCTGTGATAGATGGCATCCTGTTCACGGCAGAGCCTCTCCTTGCAGTTTGCCGTTCTGGGATAGACTCCAGGTTGCTCTGTGTTTGGTTTTCCCAACAACTTTGCAGTATCTATAATTGCATTTTCTTGTGATTTAGACATTACCATGTTATTATGTAGTGATGTACAATGGCTTGTATTAGTGATTTTATGAAAAAGGAAAATATCTGCAACACGTACTTCCCACAGAGAGAATCACTAACGTATTTTCAAATGGATGTGGTTTTCTACCGATGTTTAAATCACTGGAGGCTGGTATCACAACACTGCATCTTTGTTAATTAATCCACTTCTGATGCTGTTGCAGTTATTGGTTTAAAACAGATAATATCTGGTAACAGGCTTTTGGTAACTGGATTTTTAAAATCTGATAGAAATATTACTGGTTAGAAAAGAGTATAGCAAAAGCCAGCACAGATTAGAAGGAATTGCAATGATCCTGAACATGTTGTGGATGGAATGAACTAGTGAAACGTAGGCTCAGTGTATTTTAGTTAAAAGCAGACTTTTATAAATGCAACAGTCTTGCATTGAGTGTGTAACCACAAAATGAAAAACTGAGTGGCAGGTTTGTTATCTGATGTGTACTTGTACAACGGAAATGAGAAAGCGACACAGAAACAAGCCCTATACCTCCAGCAACTCCTCACTATGAAGAAAGAACTGATTTTCTATATCTAAAAACTGCAATGCAAAAATAAAGTATGTCTGTATTACAAGAACTGTACAGTGTTATAATACTTAGCCTTAATTCGCAATCCTCAGTAAGAAGAAGAACTTCAGTGGACAGCTACCCCCGAAACAAAAAGGAAAATGTTCTGTGTACCAGAGTGTGGAAGTCATGAGCCTGCCACAGCAGCCAGTCTTCATTGAGGGTGTAGAGAGCTTTCTCTGTGATGGCATCCACAGGGCCTTTGTTGATCCTCTGTGTCAGGGCTGACACCATCAGAAACAGTGGTTCCCCAACAGACTCCTGAACAAAGAACACAGGAAGTGGATATGAGAAGTGCAACATGAACTCCCAGCCTTCCAGAGAACCACAGCACTAGTATGGTTAACGACATGTTCTTTGTGCAAAAACAGAAGTGTGGTACAGGACTGCATCACCATTGTTTGGTCCGCTGAGTCTACTCAATGTGAAACTCGCCCCCTTCTGAGCGGAGCTGTGGCTGCCTGACAGAATGAAAACCAGAGGACAGAAACCAAAAAGTTGAACAGCAACAGGTTTTTGAGACCTTGCTTGAAGAATGTACCAAAGTCACCGTGCACACAAAGTACTCCATACATGACAGCATAGGGTAGTACCAAGCAGCTACTTTTAATTAGCGTCAAGCAAAGGTTAATTCCATGCTGAAAAATAGAAAGGAGAAACACAACGCTGCTGCTGAGTCTTTTTCCGGTGCGAGAGAGAGTATATGGTGGCGAGAATATAAAGCATAGGAGTACAAAGGACAGCGTACAGAAGGTAAAAGGAGTTTTTTTTTTTAGGGATGTGTGAACACGCAGCTCTTTGAATCCAAAATAATTTATCCAGCAACTTTAGGATATCGTAAAACAAAGGTAACTACGGTAATTATCAAGGTAACGAAGGTAATAACACACAAAAACCTGCAACCAAAGCAGCTCATAAATGCAGCAAACCTTTATCAAACGCTTCAAGGAATCTCACCCGAAGAAAACCATATAAGCATATGGACATCCAGTTTGTCAGCAGTTTTTCAACAATGGACTCAGTGCGTCTCAGCATCAGCTTTGGCTGAGTGTTGCTAGACTGATCCATGAGGGCGCGCAGCAGGACCTCCATCACTCTAGTCAGGTAAACAAGGTCGCTGTGCAGGGCAATGGTCAGGAGGGAGGCAAAGACACACCTGTAGGAGTTGGAATTTATGTGTTTATATGGTCATACGAATTTGCTTGTATAAGTATATAGAACTTGGCACAATTTTAAAAATAAAAGTGTGGGAGGTAAACAATACAAGCATGAAAAAAAAGCTTTTCATAAAATATGTTTTTTCAGTGAACACATTTTTTTATTAGTCTAAAATTCTCAGAAACAAAACAAAACAAGAACATAACAGTCACAACATCACAACCTTACTGCTCCACAGATCCACATAGTAGAGAGTTTCATATTGTTAAAGACTGAGGTAGGTGACTCTGTAAGAATCTCGAGACAAAGGGTAACACATAGATAGTCTTAACATTTTCACTTCCTAGAGCTTCAAACCAAAGGATGTTTACTTAGTTTTGCTGGGCGTGAAGCACACTGATCAAAATAATCTTCTGGTTTACCTTAGATACTGTAGTTATGTTCGGGGTAAATAATCAAGAGTGTCAAAAGGGAAACAGAGAGAAGAGAGGAGGACAGAACATAAAGCATGTGCCAGACAAGAGGTCCTTGTCCATATCATCCACACAGACTAGACAGAACCTTAAAAGGGCTTGCTCTTATTTTCTGCATGAAGAATCCATTAGTTAAAAACAGCCTTTCCTGGTAAGTAGGTACAATTTTAGAATAGGGAGACAGGCTCCTATTTATTTTGTGGCAACTGGGTTTGAGTTAGAGATTTAACTGCAGGCTGCATTGTATTTAGCTCAGAAGGCAGCTTTGTCTCATTCTGACCTTTGTAGGCATTATGAATTTGAGCAGTTGGTAACAATTGGTTTTTCTGGGTGTTAAGAATAGTAGGCCTTTAAAACACCGTGTCTGTAAACCTGTAACTTGTGTGTTGTATGTTAATGTTGTGTGTAGTGTGTGCATTGTCACTGTTAATAAATATATTTAATTCAGTTGGCCGGAATTATCTTAAATTGATCTTTAAAAAAAGGGCAGAGCAGTGGCACTGTGACTAAGGATTTGTGCCTGTGGCTGGAAGGTTGCTGGTTCAAATCCTGTGGCCAGCAGAGGAATCCTACTCTGTTGGGCCCCTGAGCAAAGCCCTTCACCCCAACTGCTTCTTTGGTACTGTATAAATTACTGACCCTGCTCTCTGACCCCAAGCTTCTCTCCCTGTCTGTGTGTCTCATGGAGAGCAAGCTGGGGTATGTGAAAAGACAAATTCCTAATGCAAGAAATTGTATATGGCTAATAAAGTGATCTTATTACTCTTTTCACCACAGCAGTTCCAGAGAACAAAGAATTCACGTGACTAACTATACCAATCTCTCTGGTATATTCTTGGCAAAATCCTTACAAGTTGGGGTTTATGATTATTTAATTTACTTATCGATTAATCCACTCGCCCATTTCCAGTTATGCGTAACTCTCCATTTGTAACAATATAAACATCAAGAAAATCTAGTTAATCTAGGTGCCTCTAAACTAGAAACTAATGATGGAGCCTGCTAGCAGCTTTTATATGCTGAACTGTGACCATTACGCTTGCTTGAGCACAGATACTTCCCCCCCGTACTTACCCCCAAATGGTGAATGCTTACACTAAAATCTGATGAGAAAGGAAGGTTTCTATTTCCTAGAGTCACATCAAAGACAGGAGGGGGAGGGTGTGGAGAAAGGTATATACAGTATAAGCTGTTTAGAGCCATATCTCCTTTGAGCTAGATACAGTAGGTACTATAACTATTATCATAACATCACTTTATTAACCCTTTACAATTTCTTGCAGAAGGAATTTGTCTTTTCACAGACCCCAGCTTGCTCTCCATGAGACACAGACACAGACAGGGAGAGAAGCTTGGGGACAGAGCACAGGGTCTGCCATTGTACAGCACCCCTGGAGCAGTTGGGGTTAAGGGCCTTGCTCAGGAGCCCAACGGAGTAGGATTCCTCTGCCAGCTGTGGGATTTGAGCCAGCAACCTTCCTGCCACAGGCACAGATCCTTAGCCACTGCTCCACCCTTATTATGGTCCTTATTGTGGTTCCTTGTATGCATACAATAAAGCTTGGCTGGATGAACGAACACTTCAGGCTCAAATTTCTTGGTTTCTACACTAAGAAACCTTCAAAAGAAATCCTAAGATTAGACCAAACTCCATTATTATTTTCAATATGTGGTTAAAAGATGATTCATTCTATTTCACTTAAAAAAGATTCTGTCACGAAGACTTATAAAAATGATAAAATTGACTCCAAAGTGACAAATTAAATTTTATAGAGAATTAAATACATTTTCACACTCATCCCAACATTAACAAGTAAGGTGCACACCCTTGTCTTTGACTTCTTGTCAAAGTGTATGAGGACATAGTATTTGAATGGAACAAGTAATAGGTTTATTTATTTGAATACTTACTTTCATAGACATACGGGCGTACTCTAATAATACAGAGACTCTTATTGCATTTGCATCACAAACATTGTTCTGGCTGTAGTGAGACACACTAGTCTAACAAACCTGTTCCTGCTGCTGTGAGAGGCAAAGATTGGAGTTATCATTAAGTAAAGGAATATCAGGACGTTCCCACAATATGTGCAAAGAATGCCCACTGGAAAAAGTATACTCAAGAAACTAGGGATGAGCTTTATATAAAAGCATCTGTGAAGACGTGAAGAGTTTTGTAAGCTGAATTAATATTTTCCTTCATCCATATCATTCAGATCTGTATTCTAAGTAGTCAAATCTACTAGGATTCGTCTGGAGCTTCTAAGAGGAGGATATGAAATTGATTATGCCTCTAAAATGCATTGGGTGTGTAGACCAAGGTTACCCAATCCTAATCCTGGGGATCCACATACTGTACCTGCTTGTTTTTGTTCCACCTGAGCACTCAATTAAATAACAGAACCTTTCACAGATCAAATAATTGGTTTATTCTGAGCTTTTTGTTATCAGGCTGGAGATTGAAACAATTGCTTTTCATACTATAATATCATAATTATCATCTATTGTGTTTCACAGCAAGCTTTGAGTTGGAAAAAAAAAACTTGCAAAGGTTCAGCTGCAAAGAAAACCAGCAGGAATAAGGTTGCCAAGGGACTCCAAAGGCATATATAGAAATTACAGAGGCAGAAATCCAAAATATTTCTGCTGTAAGGAATGTAAGACAAGCCAAGAAGTTCATATTGAGATAGAAATAAGTCTTATAAAGAGCAAAGAGGATTAACTGCCTTTGTCAACTATCTGCTAGAATGTGTTTCCCTCCATTCCTCTGAAGTGCAGAGCAGATAGAGGACTTACCTGTGACCGGTTTCTGATTACTGAAAATCAAATGGGAAGGCCACATCTTCTGATACTTCATTAATCTTTCTGATAAACCCCATGTCATAATTAACTATGGAATTACAGTTTCTAATGGGAACAGTAGCATAAATTAAAAGTTGAAATCAGACTTTCTTCAGGAGGACACCAAGATATACTGTAGGAGTGGCAGGGCTGAACCAGAAACAATTTTAAGTGTAGCAGAGCTATAGCTTTTCATGCTGGAAAATGTCAAATTTAATACACAGTTACTTCACTTTTTGAATGTGTAGGATCAAGATGAATCCTAAAACTGGAAAAAATTAAGCATTAAGCATTTTTTTAGAGACACAAACTTGAAAGGAATTGAGAATTGTATTAATCTCTTCAATTCTGTGTTTATGTGTATTAATATTTTTTAATATTGTATAAGTTGATAGCATGTAGAAAGGAATATATCTGATGTGTTCTACAAATAAATACATAAAAGTAATTAAACTCTTCAGCATTTTTAATCTGCTATAATGTAAGTCTGTCTAAAACCAGTATATTAGTTGAGACAACCAGATAGGATACACAATTGGAAAACTGCACTACATTTCTAAATCTCACAAAGGAAGGCTACAGGAAAAGCACACATCGTTTGAGATGGAAATATGCAAATACTTCATAAATAGTAAATAGTTAAAATTTAGTTTTATTACTGTTAGTTGTACTAAAAATAGTACAGTTTTAAAATGTACATGTCATATATTACTGTATAAAATTACTCCCACACAAGTATCTAGGTATATTTATTTCTTAATATTTTCATACTGTATATGGTGTATATGGCGATTACTCACTTGTCTTTGATGGTGAATTTCTTTTGCTCTTCAAGTGTGTGCACAAGAGTGATAAGAAACAGTTGCTCGTGTATCAGATTAGATAAGGCTTGTGACGATTCATTTTGCTTCCCTTTCTCCATGTCCTGAGTTTAGTCAAAAGAAAAAAAAGATTGGTATAAAACATTATATCAGAGAATAAGTCAGTCATAAATTTCTGGGTTTGATTTGCTTAATATTAGTAAAGTGGTTTAACTCTGTTTTACTGAAACAAAAGAGAATACTACAGTATGCTCCATAAAGTGACCAATCCGTGTACTGTAAGGCAGTGGTTCTCAAACTTTTTGGACCAAGTACCACCGCTAATCCAGCCAAAGCATCCAAGTACCACCTACAAGTCATCATCTCATAGGAACCCCAGCAATTCTCAATGACCAACATGAGCGCATGTGCACACACACTCACACATACATATAATAAATATTATAATAATAAACTTTATTTGATGTAGCGCCTTTAAAGGTGGCTTCTCAAAGTGTTTTACAGAAAAAAAAAACATTGACAACAACTAATAAAAAAGCACCATTTCAGTGAGAGAGGTGAGCCTGTTTAGTTGAGCAAAGCAGATGTGAATTAATTTTTCGAGCCTTGATACAATTCACAACAGAGTCTAACAGATATTAAATCGTCAGGCATTTTCTTGACAGCAAAGGTCTCGCGGTGGATGTTGTAATGCGTACATTAATTTCTGGAGCAACATCTCTAATTCGTGCAACTACACCGTTATGTTGGCTTGACATTGCTCTCGCACCGTCTGTACAAACTCAGACGCATTTTATCCAGTCGAGGCCATTCTCTTCGATAAATTCATTCAGAAGCTGAAATATGTGCTCTCCTGTAGTTCCTGTTGGTAGTGGTTTACAGAACAGAAAGTCCTCATGGGACATGCCCTCAAACTCGTATCTAACGTAAAGCAAATTGGCCAAATCAACTACAGACTCATCTAATTGCAGTGAAAAACATCTGCTCATCTTAACGCGCTCTATTGGTGTACTTTTGATATAATCCTTCATTTCAATAATTCTATGAATGACTGTAACTTACAGGGGGAGGGGGGCAGCAGGTCGAGCTGTTTAGCAGCTTTTTCTCTACACATAATACGTGTCAGCTCTTTTGCCAACGGTAAATAAGGTTCTTCAAAAATAGTGTAGCTTACCTGCTTTAGCAATCCGCAAGCTTGCACTTTTCCGCGTTTCCGTTTTTATTTCCGTATTTATTTAAAGTTTTTATTTCATGCGTATGGGAGCGAAACACAGAGACGCTCGGTGTATTTTTCTCAAATAAGAACAGTTCTTAAATATTTTTCTGTTATCACGCCTTCGTGTTTCGTGTTTAGAACGTTGGCATAGTTCCAAAATCACGCACATTCTCCTTTCTCCCTATTTGCTGGAGATACAGTAGCTTTTTTTAAATACAATTGGTCACTTGCATCTGTAGCATGCATTCCCTATAGAGTGGTATAGAATTACAGAGTATCTCTTGTGTCCACTGAAGTATTAGCGCGCACTGTATCGTAGTACGTAGGCTGCGTATTCGACACGTATTAAAATACAAAATATGAAAACCCGTCCCGATTTTTCAGAGCACAAGACACAGTTCCAGGGTCATTTGGCGTACCACTTGACGGCACTCCACGTACCACTGCCGGTACGCGTACCACAGTTTGAGAACCACTGCTGTAAGGTAATGAAAACTGCCCAGTACTGTATGTGCTATGTCCCATGATTCCTGGGGAAAGAAACGCATCAGCAGACCAGGAATTTTTCCCAGTGTGCAGTGTATTGAGAAATCTAAATGATCTCACAAGAGGCTTGATTAATACTAGTATATAGCTAGCAACATCCGATCCCATAGGATGCAACTTATCCTCTATCCACATCTCCTGCCTTTGTCAGCTGCTGTAGGTTAAGCAATCCATATCTTCAACTGTGAACATCCAATGGCTGCTTGATGCTATAATGTGTTACATACAATTATGGATTAATGTGGACTATTATTACCATAATTTCTAATATTTCAGCAGATCATCATAAGGATTCAACATTTAAATGTACAGGTGGAAAACAGACGAAGCATTACCTGGCCAACGTCATTAACAATACTGCTCAGCGCAGGCATAGCCTAAATCAAAGACATCAAACAATTAACCTCCAAACAGTTATACTCATTGCAATAGATTAACTAAATCTTATTAAATTATTCTGACATGCAGTGTATATTCTTTTTCAATATTATAAATCTTAAGAGTAGTGAAGCAGAAAGTCTTTGCTGCTTTTTTCAGTGCAGGTACAGGTACAGTAGTTAATGTATACAACAGATTAACTCAAAATGTTAAATAGGTTTGTGTTGTTGTTGTTGTTATCATTATTACCTCAGGAAAGAAAGTTCTGACGGCAAAATGCTTATAGTCCAGGTAAGGGATTGTTCCAAAAGCTTCAAGTAAATCTGATTTTTCTGTCTGTAATTCTGCAAATCCTTGAAAAAAAAAGTATAAAATCTTGTAAAATGAAATTCTGTTTTTCTAAAAGCTAAGCTGAATTCTGAAATGGCCTCCATCAGTTCATAATTCTAACACATTTCTCAGCCAAGGGAAGTCAATAGTTAAGTGTTGCTTAAGGTGGCACCCAATATAAAATTTTAAAAAGTGTGATACTGCAGGCTTCAAAACATTTCTGTTACTTTTACTGTTTACAAGCTATGACTGTAAAACAGCAAACATTTTTTCTGTATTTTACACATGTAGGAAATGTTTGATTAAAGTGACAAGGCAATTTAGTGTACATTAGATATCATATATAAACTTATTACATAACAAACTATTGATGTTCTGTAATGCAGCATTGCTGACACTTCACCAATTTGTCACTCATTAGACATTAAACAAGAGCCCATTTTAAAATTTAAATTAAATGTACTGTACTTAACTTGTAATACTTTACCATAATTACGCACTTGATTGATTATAAAGGTCAAAACTATTTACTTTTTTCATTAACAGAAAATGGGGCAGGTTTTGTTACTGATGAGTATCATTGTTTCTTGGTAATGTATGATAATCGTACATTTGGAATGAACACCAAGCCCTTTCATTCCCCCAGTGACACTCAAGGTGGGCACACAGCTCAGAAGCACATCCTTAAGGACTAACCTTCACGAATCTCATTTCGAATGTCACATTCCAACAGCTCCACTTGCTCACTCAGCTTCTTAGTCAGTTGCCTTTGCTTGACCCGATTAAAGCAGAACATGGCTTTGGTTTCACACAAAAAACAACAATAAAGAGGACTGAATATCACATTCACCTGGAAATAGCTGTCTATCACAATACTCGAAACTATACTCTTATCACCAAGTAGAAATAATGTAATAATAATGATGGAGGTTTTGGTTTCAGATAAACACAGCCCATTTTATTTTGACATTATTCAACTGTATTCCCATTTCTCTCTGTTCTAGTTTAAAAGGAAGGCATTTTAGAATTCAAAGTGACACAGTAAGTTATGAAAAAAACGTTATGCATAAAAACTTTCTCCACTCTCTGATCTAAATAGAATTATATGCTATTAGATGACATCAGTTTTTTATTCTGCTTTACTGTTCTTGCAGTACTCACCAAGAATAACGAAGGGCATAATGCAAACTACAATAAATAAAAGCCAGTAATAATTAAATGATTTTTCCAGAACTTCTTTAAAATCTCCCAGTTGTATCTGCAGGAAAAAAGAAAATCTCGTTTTAAAAAGTGTGTCTAGGCAACATGTATTTCCTTTCTCTGACAAATACATTTTGCACAGTTCCTACTGCACATCTGAATTACCACTGGATTTTCAAAATGGATAAAAATGAATTAATTTGAAGGGATACCATTACCATTTTTCAAGAAGAAATAATTACACACAGCAATTACAAACAAATCTAGGAATCTGATCTACTTTTATTTTAAACTAAATTACACTTATTTGGAGGATTTTGTGAAGCTTTAGCAGAAGTGGTTGAAAATGGAAGGTCATTATTCTTTTTGACAAACAGAACCCCTACATTTCTTGTAATCTGATGATTGTATCTGTTACAATTTATACAAAACCCCATCAGGAAAAAAAAAAACCCTGACAAATCTGAATACTGTAGATCCAAATGTTGGTTGGGACAAAATGTTTTAAAATCCCCTCACTTGTTTGACTGTACTTCAGCAGTGTCAATAACTTACCTCTATCTTTTGTATAGATAATTTGGGTTTGTTGTTTATTGTACACAGTATTGAATCATCTCCTGAATTGTCATTGAATATGATTTTTATAGAAGTACATGGATGACGCTGATCATCTATGGCTGTAATATTTAATTCATCTGTTTTTATGGTCAGTGCATCTTTCATTTTCTAAAAAACAAGAACAGATTGAGGCAGCATAGAATAATAAAAGAAATTAGGAAAAAACAAATATTTTTTTAAAGCAATGTAACATGCGTTACCTTAATAGTTATTTGTAAATTGTTTGCTACCGGTGTCGTTGAGAACTCAAGAAATTTTGGATCTGGATGGTAGGTAATGTTCAAGCACTCAAGAGTGTGATTTGCCACCACCATTTTAATGGGGATCTCCACTGGTTTTTCAACTTCTCTAGCAGGCACATAATAACTAATGTTATTTTCTGTCTGAAAATAGAAATGATAAGAATGGGTTACTAAAAAGAAAGCAATTAAAGAAAGCATTATTATCAGTCTTCCTACAATCTACAGTGCTTCTTGAAGAATTCAGCAGTAAAGGAGTCCAATGAAGGATTCCACAACTGTATCATTGTTCCTCAGTAAATCCTGATCATAAGCCTTCTGTGAAAATACTAAGGTTTCTAAAATACTAAATACCAATAAAATAAAGAGACTACTTTGAAACTAAATATAAAACTTAAAGTAATGCAGTGTATACAAAACCATATAAGTTTAAAATGCCTAGAAAGTCTAAAATTGTATATGATCAATGTACGGATTCTATTATTTATACACCAGATCAGTAAATCACATACAGGAGAAACCTGTATTTAACACATTCAAGTAAAGTAATTACTAATGTGTATGACTAGATAATTAGCCTGCTTGTAATACTTCTTAAACACATAAGTATTAAAAAGTCTGATAATATCAACAACTTAAACCATACTTGTAACATGTTTACTTTTGAATTCTGAAGTTACTAACTTCTTTCTGGGGTTAATTTCTGCCTACATCTCTGGTAATTTCTGGAAATACAAGGTTAAGTATTGCAAAACGTTTCTGCAACACATTCCTAAATTAACATTTGGACACACTCTACACTGTAAAAAGTTATTTTTTACTAATGTAACTTTTTGTGCGAAATACAAACTATCCTAAAAAAACCCTTCCATGACATTTCACACATATTTTGACCCGTTAAACCTTTGCAGCAAGGTCAAGTTTGCACAATTACAGCCTGGAAAAGAACATGAGTTTACAAAATGTGGTTAAACTGCAGCTGTAATTATTACTAAAGTCCTGCATTAAGCCAGCAGGGAGCTAAAATATAGAAAGTTCCATGTTTAATCACTCCTCAATGTGTTTAACAATCTACATACTGCGATTAGGTTAGAGTGGGGAACTACATTTTACAAGGATCAAATAGAAGTGACTTCTGTTCAGAAAAGTGAAAGAATTAAAAATAACATAACATTTGGTAGTAGGCAACAACAATATATGTTTTTTTCTTCTTCCATTTTTTAAATTTGCAGAATGGAATTAACCTATACTTACTATTATGATTATTTGCTTAGTGGATAATCCCTCTTAACAAGGGTGTTACAGGTAGGAAAATACAATACAGTACATATACAGCAATTAAAATGTAATACAAAATTTACTGCAGACTCTGTCTGAGTCTGCTGTTTGAACATATAATCACAAAATGTTATGAGAATGTATTATTGGATTGGTATTTGTATTTGATTATACTTATAAAGCAAAAAATGTATAGTAATTAAAAATACACTGCAGTGAAAAGGTTTTGAACATACGACTCTAAGTTCTACTCTTGTTCTTCTTTTTGCCAAAGAACAACTTTTTATTCTTGATACGTTTCATTGAAATTTTAGTCATATTCTTCTGTCTTAAATATGATGGGCTCATCGCTACCAGGACTTTTGACAGGTCCTCCTTTTTTCCTGTACATTCTGAGAAACTGATGGTATTGTCATCACCAGCTACTCTCTTAACTGGCAAAGCAGAGTGGAGTCTTCATGAGGTTCTAAAGTGGGTTTTCCCCCTTCACTGGTGTTTCATCAATAAAACAATGGCACCTCAGGAGGGCATGATGGCAGAACCACCCCCTCAGTACAGCCTGCTTTAGTTTGCCGCCGGTCATTCCTTTTACTTCCTTCACTTGCTTACTGACCTCAGCCACTAGCTTTTTCCTTGCTACTCCGTCGACACCAGGCAGCCCCAAGCCCCTCCAAAGTGACTTTCCCTTTAAAACCCCCTACAGTCAACTTCAGCTGTTTTGCTGCCACTCGAGGTTGAGGGACTGATATTCCCAGAGCTTTCGCTCATGTTCCTCCTCCCATGTCAATTCAATGAGAGCTCCCTGCTTTGTGTCTCTAGATTCCTCTGGAAACTGGACCTGTCTCTTAAGTTCTGCCTGCATTTCCCAGTCATTTGCTTTTTCTGCTTTGCCACCTTGACCACACCCTCTCCTGACCTGACAAAGTGGGAAAAACAAGGGCGCTGGATAAGTTGATTTGAATTCTCTAATCTTCTTTGCCATCTCTAGTCCTGTGGCCAGATGTGTCTGAAAAACTGTCTGAGCACCATCCATTAAGAAATCTTTTTTAAACCTTTCCAAACTGATTAGCATCAACTATTCTTTTTCTGACGTCCTCTGAAGTTGCTTTTGATCATGACATGATGAGTTTCCTCCAACCTGTGTGGAATCACCAAACTCACAAAGTTTCTAACCATTATACAGGACAGGTCTGACCAAACTCAGTCTCTGTTTGGTACCTTCACTGTAAGTATTAAACCACCTGATTCTACTTACTACCTGAATAATAGTAACTAAGGTTAATTATTTCACATACACTGAATCTGAATTATTCTTTTTTCTACTACATACAAACTGCATCTCAAAAAACACTGAATTGGAAGAAATAAACCAATGTGGTTAGCTATGAAAAAGACTGGTTTTAATTAAATAAGGGTATCATGGTAAGAACTTGTAATTCACATAATTATATTGGAGGTTTGCAACCTTTTTCTCGACACTGTATTCTAAATGACATATTCCCATCTAAAAAACCTGCACACATCTAAACAAAACATCTAAACTCAAAAAGTATAAGTGTGGTTTGTTTAACTTTCATTTAGGCTTCCCACATTGGCTGCTTTTATGTGTGTTTATAATGGTTTGAATTTAGGGTCTGTCCACATATGCTACAAACACATTGCAAAGACAAAGTGGGTATAAAATATTTTATGCAGGTCATGTGTTATTGTAAGCCTGTTAACAGGATGGTTTGAACAAAACTAAAAGGAGGATGGGTAGTGGTACAAAGAGTCCACAGTAGACTTTTTGTTCTGCTGTACGATGTTGAAAATATGATCAGTCTCCCTCAAAGGACCCTAATTATAAATACAGGCCTAAAGTCTAAATCTTCACATTTGTTAGGCCCCAATATTCTGTTTGGGTAAACGTCAGCAGATATCACCAGCGCTGTGACGAAAACCCATAAAACATACAGGAGTTTCAGCATTGCTCTCCATGACCAGCTAAGTAGACTTATAGAGCGTAGGCCTGTCTTCCTGCAAAAAATAAACCAACAAAACTCAAATGAAAAAGAACATCTACTGTAGCACCTTGACCTTGTGGCTCTGATATTATTGTCAATTTTTTAAATGTTTCAGTGGGCCAGCTATTTTGCCTATATCCATCCAGTAAACGTCAGTAATGAAGGTCACTTTGGGAGAAATCAAAGACCCGTCGTTTTTGTAACAGAAATTGAAAAAAAAACTTACCTGGCTGAAATTCTTAATGTTACCCATATTTTCATGTTTTATTACATCAACAAAGTGAAGGTTGTTTCCCAAAATACTAACTCTTCTTTTCCCACTATTTCACAAATTAAAAACAAACAAACAAAAAAACAACAAAGAATAAACTGTAAAAATGAAATTCAAGAGTTGAGGTATCAGCTTAATTTGGATGTACTGCATATTGTTTCTTCTAAATGCATACATTTACTACTCCTCCTCCTTTACAACTAATGTAACAGTTATACACTTGGAATGGCAAGAGTGAGACTCAAGATGGAAACACCCATTACTTATTAACCTTCACTTTCAAGATGACTGCTCAGGCCAAGACAAGAGAGTGGCACAGGTACAGAATTGTTTTGAACAACCAAAAATATATTTTCACTTTAAAAAAGCAAGTCTACATTTATACAATGGATTATCATTTAATGTTTTTTTTATATAAAATAAATACAATAAAACCTAATATCTTTGAAAAACAGAAAATCAAATCAGCTCACATTATAAAAACTGTTCCTCATCTAGCACAGATGCAGACTACTTTTAAAAATAGGAAGTGAAATATGTAACACAGCAGTTTAGAGGGAACTATGTCAAAGCTGTGTTATCGCTATTACTCTTTGGTTTGTTTGTGTGGGTTGGGTACAGTTTACCGATCTGGAAAGACATACAGTACGTCATTATAAAAAAAATACCTGGCCCACGTGCTGTTTGGTGACAGTCTATCACAGGATGGTAGGGATCTATATTGTATTAAAACAGATCCATGACAGATGCCATCATTCACTACAACACAAACTTTCCTCACCCCCTTGGTAGATTTAGGAATGGAGAATTGAACTTCATTGTCTGTGGAGCTCAAAACGGGTATTCTAGAAAAAAAAACATTTTATGGTTTATATGTAGCAATTTTCTTTACTGCAGCACATGATTAAAGATTGAGGGTTCTGGGCTGATAACTGGGAAGTTGTGTTTCCAAATCCAGCTGTTTAACTTGTTACTCCCTTGAGAAACTTACTGTACTTCACTCTGCTCCAGCAATGTGCCCTGTTGTATTACTGGGATCTCTCCAGTCACCCGAAAGAAGGGTTAGTTCTCACGTTTATTCTTCTGGTTAAGTACTACTACTAGCAGCTATATCACCCTGCAACTCACAACTGGCAACCCACTGAAGCTAAGCAGGTGTGAGCCTGGTCAGTACCTGGATGGGAGACCTCCTGGGAAAAACTAAGGTTGCTGCTGGAAGGGGTGTTAGTGGGGCCAGCAGCAGGCGCTCACCCTGTGGTCCATGTGGGTCCTAATGCCCCAGTATAGGTGGGGACACTATACTGTAAACAGGCGCCGTCCTTTGGATGAGATGTAAAACTGAGGTCCTGACTCTCTGTGGTCATTAAAAATCCCAGGGCGCTTCTCGAAAAGAGTAGGGGTGTAACCCTGGCATCCTGGGCAAATTTCCCATTGGCCCTTACCAATCATGGCCTCTATGAATTGGCTACATTATTCTGCTCTCCTCCCCACTGATAGCTGATGTGTGGTGAGCGTTCTGGTGCACTATGGCTGCCGTCGCATCATCCAGGTGGATGCTGCACATTGGTGGTGGTGGAGGGGAGTCCCCATTACCTGTAAAGTGCTTTGAGTGGAGTGTCCAGAAAAGCGCTATATAAGTGTAAGCAATTATTATTATTAATTAAGTAAAGGTTTAAGGATGCTATTTATAAAATCAGGACAGTACTTCTGAAAACTTGTCATTTCACATTGTAAACGTATACAACAGGATGTTGAGGCACTCACAGGCCTCATGAAAAAGCTGACTTCAAGCACAGCTCTTGGCTACAGCACTGTGGAAAGGTGAGCAGAAAACAATTTGAATTGTTCTGGATTAGGTGGTGTAAGCAGATAAGTTTCGGAAATGTGTGATTTATTAAAAACTTTAAAATTAATGTCTGAGAAAAGAAACTACATAGGCAAGGATGTTTAGAGACCTTGTACATCACTGCCCCTCTTTAGCACTGGTGATTGTAGAAAGGTGGCAATACAATTCTGGCAGGGGCATATCAACAGAGATGGGGAACTAACCCAATAAAAAGATTACAGCTAAAGTTTGAAGTCTAGAACTTAAGCACAAAATGCTTAGAAGGTCAAGTAAAATTATCCGCATGTAAGCAGTCATGGTGCCTAATTATAATAAAAGTAAACACACTATAGCATGAATGCATTGAAAGATAGTGAAAGATAAATGCAACACCCAAGTTTAGTGGGTGTAATGAAATGTTTTCCGCATAGATATCAAACAAAAACATAGGATATATTAATGAAAACTGAGGTCAAACAATCAAGGTAAATTTTCAAGTGAACTGTGGCACTGCTAACATGAAAACATAAAGTTAGTACTGGGTAAGACATCCCTGAGCTCTGAGTGCCCACACATGTAAGTACAGTAAGCCTGATCAGCCTCAGGACAGAATGATGCCGGATGTTCTGGCACTCAGCGGGTGAAGGGTGGTCCTTCTTGGTTTTCACATGGGAATTAGCAAGTTGGTTCTAGAGGTACTGTATTCTATGGGTCTCAGGTTAGGAGATAGAGACCTTGACATTACTCTCTTGATGCTGGGCCACCATAATCTTAGTACTGTATGTTCTTGCATTATCAACATGTTAAGACTGATTTGCGGAAATGAGAAACTGTCGGCTCAAGGATTTCTGTATGTGTATTCCTGAGTGGTAAGGCTGCTAACAATCTGCACCAATGGTGTTCGTGTCTTAAAGGAGATTCATTCCCGTATCATCACACCAAGATTGGGCCTGGAAGGTATGAGGATGTGAGACCTCCAAGGTAATCCAAGCTGCCACTGGAAGAGGTGTTGGTGGACCAGTAGGTGGTACTCTGGTCCAGAATTTCCAGACCAACGCCCCAGTACAGTGACCAAGGACCTTGCTTTGTAGGAGGAGCTGTTCTTTGCAGGACATAATAGACCAAGGTCTTGACCACTACAGTTTGTCAACAAAAATTCCATGGCACTTTTCAAAAGAGCTAGAGTGTTAAGCTGCCTGATCTGTCGTTCAGTGGAGCCACTGGTATATAATTGCTGCTGTACATTACTCAGGTGGATGAAGTGGGTGCCTTTTTATGTGTAAATGGCTTTGGGGTCCTTTGGGATGAAAAGAACTATGCAAAAGAAAGCAATTATTATATTACTGTACATCCACCACCACACCAGTTAGGCTGAATAAAACAAAAGGCAGTATGATGTCAACTATTACCTGTACTGTAAATACTTTGTTTACAGTCAAGTCTCATAAGCACAAGGTGGTGTATAGGATGCTTAAGTGATCCTAGAGAGCTTCACCAATATGGCTAATTTAATCACTTGAGTTCTTCAAACTTATCAGCTGTCACTTAAAGAGACTCTATTTAAAGTTAGTTATGTGTTTTTCATATAATGTAGAATGTATTTAAAGGTTAAAAAGAAACCTCACAACCTCCCTCAGTATTCCTTTTGTATAGTGCTGCTTTGTAATCAAATTAAAACTTGATAATTTGCTTATACTGTACATAGGCTTGTGTCAGGTGTGGAGTTTAAAACGCCTGGGTTGAAGAGGGTGGGGTACCTGTCGGTGGGTGGTGCTGAGAACATAAGAACTAATAGTTTGCAAATAAGAAGAGATGTGGCTCATTTGGGTTTTTAGTAGGTAATTGATCTGAGGATTTCATCTGGTTGTTTCTCTCAAGATGTGATGGCATCAGTTTCAATAACATTGGTGGGTATGTTGTTCCTCACTTCCTTATTCCTATGTGTAAATAAGTACCTTCTGTTTCAGTTTTCAAGGCATTTACAGTAGCATCAGTTTCTAGTTGTGGTCATATTTCTATTTATTCCTCTGGTTTGTGTATTGCTGGCAGGTTCACTTTGTCAGTGCCTTTGATGATTCTGAATACTTGAATCTGATCACCTTGCTGTCTTCTCTTTTCAGTACTAAAAGCATTTAAGTTCTTTTTAGTTCTTGGAGCCTGGCAGAGTAGGACAGGATGTGTTTGTCAGAGTTTTCACTGGGCCAAAGACATGCAGGTTAGAGTTGACTGGCTACTCTCAACCATACCTTTCCATAAGGAGGTTTGTTGGTTCCAGCACAACCAGTATTATCTGTGGGACTACAAAGTACCAGAACCAGGGGAGCCTGATGGCACAAATGAACTTCTGTCATCTGTGGCCTTTACAATGTTCCATTACAATCCCATAACAATGAGCAAAATATGGTACTAAACCCTTAAAATAGCTTTTGACTCAAGTGTCTCAATGACAGGTATGTGAGATTTAACACTCAGGTGAAAAGAGAACCTGAGAAGTACTATAACTAATTTTAACTGTAACTGCACATTTACTTAAAAGTAAAAAGTTACAGATGAATTACTGTAGATTTATGTATATCTAAATCTATAGATATATATATAAATATGTATTTGTAATTGATTACCTTTTAAATGGAACTGGTCCAGTGGTGCACATATTAACCCTAAATCATTAATCCAACAATAAATCTGAAAACTGGTGACTTACTCAAATGGTCTGCAGTCAGCGCTTCCTGTAATCCAAATTTTAGACACTTGAGATAAATTTGTTCCTTTTATGGTAACTTTGTTTTTTCCCAAGTACGATATCTCAGTCGGCTCTATTAAATGTATTTCTGGCACCTGGAAATACAAAAGACAGAAAGTAGATGAATGTGTTTATCTAAAATAAAAAAACTAAAAGTAATAAGAAAAGTGTTGCTTTTCATGATACATCCATTCATTTTCTGACCACTTTAACCAATATACAGTAGGTTCACTGGGGGTTTATCCCAGCAATCAATGTGAGCAAGGCACACTGGACAAGATACCAGTCCACTGCAGGGTACTTACACAGATGTGTACAGTACACACTCACACCAGGGCAAATGTTCCCTAAAACCCAGGAACTAAGGCCACGTCCTCAGGGCTGTGAGGCAGCAATGCTAACCACAGCGCCACCATACTGAATTCTTGGCATGATGTGGAACCATTTTTTTTCGATTACAGTGGAGCCAAAAATGTCATTTAACACAGCCAGCACAATCTAAACTGACCCAACAGCAATGAATGGCTGATGTTTGTCTGACTAAATTTTCAGTAATAAAATCATTAAGGATTAACGATTAAAATCCTTTGTCAAAACAGACTTTTCATTAAGATGTTGTGATGACTCGCTTAAGTAAACATCCAAAAAACCTCACTGTTTTCAACAAAAAGGAGACTATAATCATATCAAATAATGTTTAGGTTAGGGCATTATTTGTTCAGCATAATAATAAAAGTAGATAGAAAAACATCTGTTCTGTAACACATGATTAATATTAAGACAGCAGACATGTTAATGAAAAAGTAAGTAACAGAACATAAATATATGGAACTTTGCTTTCTCTTGCTTTGATGGGTTTGACATAGTCAATGGCAACTGTAGACTCTTTATGTAGGATTTACTTTATATCCAGAAAGTTATTTCCAGTTATTTTGGAATTTAGTCACATTATAACTGAGAAATAGCAGTAACACAAATAAAGATGATTCAACTTTAAGAAACAGTTTATGGCTTATTGTGGAGAGTGAGTCTAGTGTGCTACTTTCATTAGGCAACTAAGATCTTCTGATCTGTTAAAATGATGTCACCACAATAGCCCTATTGCTATCTTCTAATTCTTGTGACTTAGCTTTTAATGTGCATTCAACCACAATGTTTTGGCTTCAAGGTCACTAGAAAAATCCAGAGGCAAAAAACAATGTTTTATTAATTTGCTTTATAATGTTTTTCAATATTTGACATGTCGCCAGTTCATTTTTATATACAGTAATTCTTCAAAACCTCATAGGTTAATATATATTAAAGTGATAATTATTTTTTCCTACTGGCTTGGGAAAATAAATGGTCTTGTTTGTCTTAAAAACACAAAACCATCACCAATATAGTGGAATAGACTTGAAAGTTTGCAACAACTAAAGAAACAGAAATGCAGGCTTATTCTGATTGTGGTAAACTGATCTATTCTGGGAGAAAGACTATTGCTCTATCTCTAGAATATTAAAGAACTTAATATTTGACGAACATTCAGAGGAAAGGCAGAAGAGGCAACATTCAGAAGAAAGCAGAAGTAACTCAATATATCAAGAGCAACAATGCATTGTCATGGTTAGGACTCAGGAAAAGAGGCTAAAAAGCACAAGAGCCCCAGTGAGAAGCTACAGTATTAGCATTAGCGGTGGCAATGTTGTGTTTGTTCTTTTCACACCAAGGTGAAACTGCACTTAGTGCAATTGCACGTGATATATGTACTGGACTAGTAAGATGATACAGTACATCCCCCAAACTTGTTGCACATTATTCCACGGGCTGCTGTCATTGCTTTGATTAACCTTTGTCCTTCAGTCCCGATCTTGGGTTTGCTTTGTCTGGGAGGAAGTGGCCTTGAGAACAAATTGTTCTACTGCTGTCTCTCACTTTATCAACTTATTTTTACTCTTTTAATTTAAGCAGGCCGGACATATCAATAGAAAATGTCTACGTCATATAGCTAAATGCATTACATTAGTCTAAAACAAAGTATACACAGTAAAAAAGACCTATATGCACACTTTGTATTGTTCAACTGGTGATGCTGCTTTTTTTGTGTAATGAATTTATGGTGCTTCAATGAACAAATATATCACTCTAGTAGAATTGTCATTTACTTAAAACAAAAAAAGGTAATAGGAATATAAGTTTGAACTTACCAAACTAGATGTATTTTCTTTTGGACATGTGTTCTGAAGGAAGAAACAGGAGTTACACTGCTGCAGTAGGCAATTAGGCATTTTACATAACTTAATGTGCAGATGAAAGGATCACAAGCAGCAATCCATCTTACAATAATTACTGCACTGAACACTAACATTAATGAAGAAAAAAATATAACATATACTGAGCATCAAAAGAAACAACTTAGAACTGCAACAAATTTACAAAGCATTTACAAAAACATTTTTTTTTCATTTCTGATACTTCAGCCTCCGACATACCAATAACATGAAGGCATTGGTTTCTTGATAAGTGGGATATACGTGTTCCTTACTGTGTTTTCTTTCTTGATATTTCACAAGTTTGAGATTCAACAGGTAAAATCTCCTCTTCAACTCCAATCACTTTGCTCTCTGAGGAGGTCATTTTTAATTTGTTCAGTTCTTAGATCCTGATAAAACAACCCCTGCTCTGATGGTTACCTCCTCTGAATTGTTTTTTACGTCCTCCTGTTATATCTCAGCCTCTGTTGGTAGTTATTAACTGACCCCCTAAACCTTTAAATAGGTTTTTACCCAATCTTTCAGAGCTATAAACTCTTGCATTGTCCAGCCTATGGAAGCATTTAACGTCTTGGTGAGTTCAATAGGAGCGCGGGTTCTCCTGACTACAGCTGATTCTCTGGCTGCTCTGGATTGATGTGGCTGTGCTTATATTGTCAACACCTCAGAACATGACTAAAACCAGTACTTAATCAGGTCTTGTGGTGTTGACACTTCTAACATACAGTACAAGCATTTGAACTGAGCAGTTATAACCACAAGACTATTTTTTCAACCCTGCTAGCCCCTTCGCTTCACCACAACCTTTTTTCTGAATTTAGTGAATTGAACTTAACTAGTTAGGTGCAGATCACATCAACTCCAATTTAGTTCAGCCTGTTATGGTCTTTATAGTAGAACCCTAATACATATTATCAGTAGTCTAATTCCTATAAAAAGGCCTCAATTTCCACTGCTTGTTCTTCACCTTACACAGCACATGAGTCAACTGTTGGGCAGGGTCATCGCCAGAACAATTCAAATGGGTAGGCATTTGCTTTTAACCAGGGGGTTATGACTCAGCAGACACATAGTAATGATTTCTGAGCTGGTCTGTGTTAAGGAGAGTGGAAATTTCCTTGTCATTTTTAATGCGCATTTTATGGTCCTTCCATACAGCCATGAAGGTTAAATATTCCTTTGAAGTGGAGTGCAAGTGGAGATGAAACTCTTTGTCTCTCTCTCTCTCTGCGGCGTGTTTCCAGTCATGGTACCCCCTAACTGTAAAAGTTGAGTCAGTTGCGCGGGCACTGTTGAACTTCCTACAGGGATAGCAAAATGCTGCATCAGCTTTGACGCTATACTTGAGCCATTCTCGATTATGGTACCATGAAGATACAAGGGTAAGAGTGATTCTTACCCTGAAACAGACAGACAGGGTATCGATGTAGAATGACCTGGTTGGGTTTTTCAATCCCAAGGTCATCAGGGGGCTGTGGCAGTGGTCCACAAATTACAAATGACCGGACAGGAGTCTTTATTGGTTAAGCTGGCTCTGTCTTAAACAGTTAAATTAGCATGGCTGGAATTAGCACGTGCACTTCTGCCCAATGCACATACTTTCATAGTTCATAGGCCTGTAGATGCAGCAGTCTCTCTTCATAACTTTATTCTGCTGCCTTCATAGAGCACAGTACAGTTCCCCAGCTTGCTCTCCATGAGACACACAGGCACACAGAAGGGGAGAGAAGCTTGGTGTCAGGGCACAGGGTCAACCATTTATACAGCACCCCTGGAGCAGCTGGGGTTAAGGGCCTTGCTCAGGGGCCCAACAGAGTAGGATTTCTAAGCCAGCAGCAGGTTTTAACCAGCAACTTTCCAGCCTCAGCCACAGATCCTTAGCCACAGTGTCACTACTCCACCCCATGCTCTCCAGATCTGGAAAATGTAGTTCTTTCTATCTCCCAAGTGAATTTTCACCTGTTATTATGTCTGCAGTGTACTGTATATTTCACCCCGGTCAGACGTGAAAGCAGCACTCAGAGAAATATGTGCCACCAATAACGATTCTGAAACTGCTCATCCTGATGCTGCATCAATTGTTGCGGGGGACCAACTAGAGGAAAGATCTTCTGAAATATTAGCAATATTAGCATGTCTCCTGCCAGGCTAGGGGTGTGAATACTCTGGATCACTGCTATATGACTATAAAAACCACCTACCATTCTATCCCTCACCCTCACTTCGCATATCATCTGTTAATGCTTCCTTACAAGCAGATGCTGAAGCTGAAGCGGGAGAATGTGTTGACAAGGACAGGACAACAACGGGTGGAGGAGACAGATGAAGTGCTGCAGGGCTGCTTTGAATCTGTGGAGTGGGCCGTCTTTAAAAGTTCATCAGCGAACCTGCACGGGTACACTACAGTTGTCACTGATTTTATTAAGTAATGCGTGGATGACTGTGTGCCTACAAAGACAGTTTGCTTTTCTCCTAACCAGTAACCATAACGATATCTGTAGTAAGATGTGGGCAGGATCGAAGAATTTTAAATCTGTCAATCTGGACCTCATAAGAAGGCTAGGTAAGACCTGTGGAGAGCTATAGGGACGCTAAAAGGTAAGATTGTAACAAACTAGAAATGTAAGCTGCCTCTTCCGATGTGCACCAAATATGGTGGGGTATTCAGTCTATAACAAACAATAAAGCTAAAATAAGCAGTACTAATCCGCTGATACTGATTTCTCTCTCCCAGATGAGCTGAATGCCTATTACACTCGGTTTGAGAAGGAAATCACAGAACTGCCAGCACGAGAGCTCCCAGCCGCTGATGATAAGGCTGTGTCTGTCATGGAGGCAGAAGTCAGGGAAACATTCAGAAGGCTGGTCAAGAGGCATTTTAACAGTATGCTGCCTGAGTGCTCAGACCCTGGGTGAGGCCCACACCCCTGTTCACATCAATGGAGTGGCTGTAGAGATGGTTAGCAGTTTCAGGTTCCTGAGTACCTTCACTACTAACGATTTAACTTGGTCTCAGCATATAACTGGAGCTACAAAGAAGGCACAACCAGCGCCTTTACTTTCTCAGTTGAAAAAATCTGGTCTATCTTCAACTATACTCTCTACAATTTTACAGGTGTGCTATTGAGAGTGTGCTCGTGTGGCATTACAGTGTGGTTTAGCAGCTCGTTGTCTGACTGAAAGGCAATACAAGGTGTGATCAGGTCAGCCCAGTCCATTACTGGAGTATAGCCTCCCTCTATAGTGGACATTTTTACAACTCTTTGTCTCAGGAAAGCTGGTAGTATTGCAAAGGATAACAATCATCCTGTATTTCATTTTTCTCTCCCCTTCTCTCTGGTAAGCATTATAGGAGAATAAAGGCACATGCCTCTAACTTCAGTTTCTTCCCACAAGGTGTCAGATTATTGGATTCTACTCCTACCACTGACTCACACTGATGTTTTTTTGCACACGGTTTGTGCTGACTTGTAATTAAGTTGTATTTTATTTAACTTTGTTGTTGTTGCTGCCGTTGTTATGTTTTTACGTTTTGGTGTTTCCTTACTGTCTTTGTATTGGAGCATAAATGCCAATATGCATTTCATTGCACTTGTGCATATGACAAATAAACTGAACTGTGCTCTATGAAGACAGCAGAATAAAGTTATGAAGAGATATGCATCTACAGGCCTATGAACTATGAAAGTATGTGCATTGGGGAAGTCCCTCACTTAGAAGGAGAGGGAGAATGTAAGCAGTGATGCACGTCTTGCTGAACCAAAAGGACAGACCTGTGACCCGTGACCTACAACTACAGAACAGGGAGAAAAGACATTCGACAGAGCTTGACAGAAAACACCACAATTTCTGGGACAAAGCTGTTTTTATCAGATCTGTGCTCAGAAAATCAGAATTTGTCATGGGTTTCCTTGATTAGATTAACAGTGTAGTCTGCTACTATGACTAGAGTAGAGCAGGGGAACATACTGTAGTGCTTGGGGCAAGCCAATTCAGATACAGGCACTCAACTGCGCAATACATTCTTTAATATGCAGTAAGTGCCAGGTTTGCTTTCAGAGCATGACAGACTATGAGCCTTGGAAAACAGATGCAAGTTCTCAGCCTGGAACAAATTCCACACTGCTAACGTAAGACTACGGAAAAAAAAACAGGCATGAGTTCCAATATGGTATTGGCAATATGGCAGTTTCATACTTCTCTACTCCTGAAACCCAGCCCGGGAGATAGCCAATATGTTGTGAAGTCCAAAATAAGCACCCAGCAGCTCATGTAAGCGGTGCTTTCACTCTTGTAATGTGAGTGCTGTGCCAGACCAGAGAGGAGAGTAGACCCATTTTTTGGGGGGCAGGGAGATAGGCGTTGTGTTCTCAAGTGTGGCATGTGCTCCAAGCTGCTTCAAGTGCTATATCAGCACTTAATTCCCAACTAATGTAAAATGCACAAAGTCTCAGAAATTTAGAGAGGACCTTAAGGTTTTCCTGCTCATATACAGTATAAGACACTGAAGGTTTGACTTCCGAATTATTTTAAGGATCTTCGATCCTAATCTTCGATCTGCGAATTCTGGTCTTCTTTCTCAGTTGTCGACCATGTTCAATACATTGTCTATTACATTCATGGCTCCAATCTATTAGGGACTCTGTCACTGCTGTCATGTTGAAAACAGCAACATTCCCTAACTACGCACCCTTCGAAGCTCAAAACCCTGAACCAACCACCTGGACCACTGACTCCCCTGCCACCCCAACCCCCACACTATCCAACCTAGATGTCTGGAAATCACTAAGTAGAGTGAACACACATAAAGCTGCTGGACCTGATGGTATCCCTGGCCTGGTACTCAGAACATGTGCCTGGCAGATA